TCAAAGGCTTATTAGTGGCCTTAACCGCAGCTGGAGCTAGGTTTTCGAGAGAGAGTTGAGAAAGAGGCGAAAAACCCTAAACGACGGAGGAGAGATGGGATCGAATCTAAACAGAAGAAATGGAGAAGTGAAATGGATCGAAGAGATGAAGCCGGAGGAGAAGCGGAGGAGAGAAAATCGGCGGAAGCGGAGGAGAAGCAAAGGAAGGATCGGGAAGCCAGAATCGGAGAAGGAGAGAAATTCGGTGGGTTTCTCTAGCGAGAGAAGAGAAGAGAGAACAAAATGATTTTTTTTTTCCACTGCTTTCGGGAAAACGCAACCAATCAACAGCTGCCATGTCATCTGACACTGGGTATCAGAAGTTTCACTGGGCTGATACGGATCAGGCCCGTTTTAACTGTTTGATCCTTTAAATAATATTTTTTGGGCTTCTGATACTGTAAAAGTATCAGCCATACACATGGTCTTAATTCTATGCATCACAGAGTTTAGTTTTGTCTAAAAAGTAAACTTATTCTTCTCCTCTGTTTTCTTTTGCATGTTTTTTGCAAGGAAATACCCAAAAAGTTGAAGGCTCGTCAAATATCTCTGTGTTGAACGCTAAAAAAAACAGAGAAAGAAGCTTCAAACAAATTTCTCCGTGATCTCTTCACCGTAATCAAGAACCGGAGGTGAATTCAGAATTCAGACTCTGCTTAAATATTGGTATGAAGCTTCTTATGTCCGGTTATTTGTAACTTGATTTTGAGAACTGGACTCATAATGAGAAAGACAAATTGTTTTTTGAAAATTTTCTGACATCTAAATAAATTCCACGGCAACCTTTGGTAGAGGAACCTAACAAAATGTGGCATGTTGCACCGAAGGATATTCTCGCTGACTACTCTCAGATTTATCGTCGTTATGTTCAAGGTAATTTTTATCTTTCTTCCTTTGATCATTTCATTGTTCATGAATACAAAATCTTAGTCTCTTTTTATTATACATGCTTAAAATTTGGTTAGTTATGCCGTCGGATTTCATAGGTTAATTCCGTTTATATGTCACTCGTGTTTGTGTTCGTTCAGTTATTCTTATGATTTTTGATTGGATCTCTTGAATTTTATTTATGTTACGTTTTTGTTCAAAGTTGGAATCTTCCCAATTAATTTTTTTTTTACAACCTCCATGATTAGTGAGAACTTTGTTGTTAGTTTTGTTACGACTATTTGCATGCAAATTGTTGCAGAAATTATGACCACATTATAAAAATGACTCATACAAAAAAATTAGACGGTTTAATATACAAAATTGTTGCAGAAAATATGGGTTGGGGCCAGCAAGTTGTTGGGGGAGAGGGTCGGAGAGGGTCGGGGCTGCGCTGCGCCTCCCCCGAGGTTAGTCCTGTGAGGTTTCTTATTAAGATTAACGATAATTTTTGTAAGCATCACATATCGGAATATCTAAGACCATGATTATTGGTTAGCCAAATCTTAGGTAAATCTTAAGTATTAAATGTTAATTAAATGGATTGGTAAGAAAGATGTTTGTAAGAGGTAAATTTACCTTAAGATTTTAATACTAAAAATTTACTAAGAACCATTGTTAAGAAACTCTTGATAATCATGCCCTAAGACTTCACTTAAAATTTCTTAGGTGTCCCAGGGGTATTGTAGGACTGAGATATCTAGAATTTTAGAGAACTGACTAAATTGATTCTGGCTTAATTGATCTCAAATTTGTTAACTAACTATACAATATTTCTTATTTGATCTCAAATTCTAGCTTAATTCTAATAAGTCTCATTATTATTATTGAAAATTAAAAATTTTGGAAAATACATTTGTAAATAGAATAGGTTGAATAGGTTTTTTATTCTGTTTACAAATATCCAAATAGGTAAATTAAATTAATTACTATTGCTCCTTATGTTTCTAGAAGATGTTCTAGAGTTTCACATATATTAATTAAATAATGTTTGATTTTTAAATGTCAATAGTAATATGAAACAGTTAATCATGACGTCTTTACGATTTATTAATTAATAAATAAAAGAAAAATTTAGAAAATCAATCGAACAAATTCAAAAACATTAGAACATCAAATAATATCAATTTTATTATACATGCATAGATTTAGAATTTATTGGTACAAAAAAAAATTATATCATAAAATATTTGTCTTTGTCTAATCAATATAGCATCGGAGTTGACATTTCCCTACTTTTATGGACATGATAATAATGGCCCCCTTAAATCCCAAAATTCGAAAACTTACAGACCTAATAATATCTTTATTTAAAACGTTGTTAGGGTCCAAATTTTACGTAAAGTCGATTATTAGTGGAGATATCTATAATAGTGTGATCGATAAAAAGGTTTTTACCTTTTCAAATTTACGAAATCAGTAAAGTAAAAACAGTGGGGGCATAGCTACTGCTAAAAAGGCCTGTCCTGTCTTGCCTATGGAAAACGCATTATATACTCTACTACCACTTTGCCCAAAAAAAAAACTCGACTACCACTCTTTTTTTCTCTCGACGAGTGGATCTTGTATAAATAATAAATATATAAATGATCATTTGAGTTCCAATTCCAATTCAAAACAAAAATATGTAAATCCCTAAAATATAGAGAATTTGTTTTTATTTATATGACGTAGTTACATATTTAAATAGAATCTTAATACTCCCTCTGTCCTAAATTATAAGATATTTCACCCGAATGGACGATAATTAAGGAATTTTTTTAATAACAAAATTTTTAATGTGTATTAAAACAAGGAAAGAAAAGAAAAAAAATATAGTAAAAATGTAAAAGGCCAGTTTAAAGCATGGTCAACTTTATTGTTTTCTTAATCCACTTAAATAGCTATCATTAACAACTTTTTTTTTTGACGTATCATTAACAAGGATGTAAAATTAGTCTTTTGAAATATCTTGACCAAAATGCTTTTTATTTATTTATTAAATTAAAATACATTAAATACTTGTCTAAAAGTTTGAAAACATCTTTAAAATAGAAAAAAAAAAAAGGCTGAAACATCTTATAATTTGGGACAGAATGAATAATAAATTTCTTGAATAAAGACAGATTTTTGATATGATTCAAACTCATACGACATACATGTGTATATATGCATATCAACGTGGAAACATCATTACAAAACAACAAAACTGCTTTCGTTTTCTCTCTCTCTATCTCTGTTTCTGGAATATAATTGTTTGCCCCCTAAATCTTCTAAAAATCCTTTGCCTAATCATTTGGATTTTCAATCTCCACAAAGATGAGATATGAAGAAAGATAGTTTTATTTTCACAAAAATTCATGTTTTTATCAATCATCAAGTTTGTATATAAATAATTCATCAATTGAAAGATACATCAGAAAGGGTTTTTCCTTTTTCTGAGTTGCTTACTTTATGATTCTTTCTAAAAGCATTTGGGTAAAATAAATAAGTGGAAAATGGCAGAGATATTTCATTGATTATGAACTAATGAAGCGAAAACAAAACCATTGATTTACTACCTCAAGCTACAAAGAGAATAGAAGTAGATCTTATTTATAGAAAGGACAATACTTATATCAATCAAAAGGATATTTGTAAAAAGATGAAATATTTGATGTAAGAAAGAATTGAAATATGGGATTATTACGGATTTTGCCCTTTTTTATAATGGCATTTATGGATTTTGCCCTTTTTTGAATAATTTATGGATTTTTCCCTTTTTAACATTTAAAAATGTACGTATTTATGATTTTTTTTGCAAAAATACGTACATTATATCAAATACTAAACCCTAAGAACAACTGGAACCGACTAAACCCAAACATAACGAATGAAACGCATGTTAAATCATATTTTTAGAACCTAAAAAGGACAAAATCCATAAATTATTTTAAAAAGGACAAAATTCATAAATACCATTATAAAAAAGGGCAAATCCGTAATTAATTCATTGAAATATAGCTGTCTAGTGTCTACTTTCCCCGAAACGCTATCGTTTGACGTCTTAGTGGAGAAAGAGCAAATCTAACTGACATATTTCTTTCACTGAAAATATAAAACTGGCAAAACAAATTGGCGGGAAAATGGGTATTGATTTCGTACATGATGATGGCCAATGGGGCACTACGAAATATAGAGAATGATGTTGAGTTTTTTTATTTTCTTTTAAGCAAGATCATATTAATACAAATTATTATTTGAATAAACTTATTAGCATTTCTTTAAGAGGAACAAACAAAAAAGAGAGAGAGAGTTCAAGTTAATATCATGATCAAATTAAATAGGAGTATACAGGTTTGGATTTGTTTCTGTGTGATTGAAGCAATTTTGCTTACCATCGAAGTTTGGTTTGATGGATTATATAATGGTGACAATTATATAATTAAAAAAATTACGAGACATGACGTTATGACGTATTGAGTGACGCATGTTTTTTCTATCGGATGTCTCTGAACTCTGAAGGGATAAATGACGTTCTCGAATTATAATGACATGGCGATTTAATTTTATTTTTTCTAGAAAAATAACATTATTTTACAAAAATTAAAATATAAAGAAAGAGATGAATATATCGGGAAATGTGATAATAGTTTCAAATAAATATGATGAATTTAGGATCAGCGGCGGCTAACGATTCCCTAGATCTCGCCACCAATCACTCCCCCTCTACGTGTTTTCAATATATTATAGGCAAATAAACTTATTTCATAGTTTGCAGGTTCATGTTTTAGTAATAGTGCAAAGATTCTCTTTTAGGGTTCATACGTAAGTAACGTAGCCCTAGTAACAAGAGACTTTCAACATTTTTCTTTGCCAAAAGTAGAAGCATGTTATCTTTTTTGGGTCCCTTGTGACACTAATTCTGCTCTATAGGCACCACATGCTTCTTGAGATTTTTTAAATCGTCTCTTGCTTCTTGAGATTTTTTAAATCGTCTCTTAACTTAGTGAAATTTCAAATTATATCAATTTATAAAATACTTATGATGAGGCCGTTGATATCTTAAAGTATACCAAAATCTCATGCCTCTATATATGAGCCGATGTTCAAAATCACATATATATACATCCAGTCCAATAAAAAGGAATAAAACGGATATAACCTTTGAAGAAAAAGAAAAAAAAAAACATTGTTCGAATATGTAGAAAGTCATTGTTTATTAGATCATATAGACTCTTTAGAACATAAATGATTCCAAAATCTTTCCATACACTAATTAATGTTTCCATTCATCATATATCTTTCGCTAAGATTTTCTAATCCATTTTTTTTATGGTAAGTAACAATAAATACGACCATAATGTAGAAGTGTTAGATGCATCTAATCAGAAGAAGAGATCCATGATAATTCCACCATACCTTCATTTCTCACCTCCGATCCAGAAGCACCAGGTAGTGTGTAACCATCCGATCTTTGCACCATGGATTGATCATCTTCATTGATGGATCTTAAGAGATCATTATCATGTTCGGCTTCAGTATTCTTGTCTGATCCATGGATAGTATTTAGGGTTGGCTGTGTCATCGATGATGATGAAGAGACGATAATGTTGTGAAGCCCCTCAAAGTTTGTTCCAACGTTAACGTGTCCAAAACCATTACTCGTTCTCAAGCTCGAAGGTTTCGACTTTTCACATAGAAGGGATTGATTCGTTAAAGGGTTGTTGGGAGATTGGTTGCTGAGAAAAGGGTTTGCAATGTTTTGTGTGTTCATATTAAGGAGAAGATTCTGTTGCTGATGATGATGGTACTCTGAAGAAGGACGAAGGTAATGATTATTCACCGTCGATGGAGAGATGAGTTTGTGAGGAAAGGGTTTCATGGGTCGTGAGGATGAAGAAGAAGAACCGAAGATATCAAATCTTGATCTTGGAAAAGGAGAGGATGACGATAATCCGGTGAAAGGAGTTGAAGGATTACCGGTGAATTCTTGAACCATGGCTCTAAAGTTGGATGTGTCGGTGGTCAAAACAGTCGTAGGCGCTCGTCTCGAGACTCGAGATCTCTTCTTTGGATTTCGTGTTGTCGCAAGACCGTTTTTCTTGTCGGTTGGGACGGAACAAATGGGACTAGTTGTATTTGTGTTTGTGTTTGGAACTGTTCTCAGATTTTGTTGAAGTGGGTTTGTGAAGAAGACTTGTTCTGATGAGATCGGCGGTGGTACTGGTCTTGAGCCCTCGGTGGGCTTTGTAGCCGTTGTCGACCAGAGAGAATTATCCGTTGACCAAGCACTGTTGAAATAGTTAGCTATGAGAGTGTCAAGCTGTGTTGGAACGGCGATGTTGGAGGAGACGGTGGTTGTGTTGTTGTTGTGGTTAAATAAAGCAGAGATTGATTGATCGGCGCGTGAGTCGTACTCTTCTTGATCTCCTCCACCACCACCGCCGCTTGAGGATTGCATGCTACTACTATTGCCGGAATCCATGTCAGAGATAGAGAGAGGAAGAGGTAGTGGTTCAGAGGGAGAGAGAGGAATGGAGATGGAGGAAGGAGGTTATGATGAGTTTTTTTGGTTGTAGAGAAACTCAAAAGAGGAGGAGAGTGTGAAAGGAATTGATGGTTGTGTGGGAGAGAAAAGCCAATAAAAAGTGGACAGCTTTTTTATATAAAAAAATCTTTTATATAATAACTTTTTCACTATTTACCTTTTGTTCCCTCTTTTTTCTTTACTTGAAACTTGAAACTTGAAACTTTGAAACGTGATACTAGGGTTAATTACATTTTGGTATAAAAAATTCGAGTGAGAGAGAGAGGGTGATAGAATTAAGATTTTGATTGTTCACAAGAGTAGTGGTTCGTAGTAGATACACCTATTAACCCATTGAAATTAGGGTAAAGTTTATTCATTTACAACAAAAAAATTACAGCACGTAATTACAATTCCATTAGTTAATAAAAAATCTTTGCATTTAAAATTTACGCTTTTTTTGTACTTAGAATTAGGGAAAGAACAAATTAATTAGAAAATAGATTTTATATTTCTAAGTTTTATAAAACTGTTTTTCTTTATAAATTTAATTATATTAATTTAAACGTTCGTGAGATTAGCTAATTATTTTCATATATATATTGGTTGTTCAAATGGCAATCGTGTTAATGTTTATTAATATAAATATAAAAAATGTTCTTAAAAAATAAGTGATTCGCCTTGAGGCTACACAACCAATTTTCTAAATATAATTTACTTGCTAACTATACAAATTTAAAAAGCAACGACAAATGTTATTCTATTTATACACAATCAGTTTCATTATCATTGCTATCTTTTAATGAGTGCTTCGAAGTGTTGTTTCCATATGTGAATGGAATAAGAGCAATTGTAGACGGGATTAACAAATATTGACTATTAGGTTATCTGACAATTGGAGGGTCTGATTAAGTTATTCATTTAAATCTGGTTTTACAAATTATACCGTACAAAAAATTATATAACTTTCTTCTATACACAATTAAAGGGTAATACATTAAAAAGCCCTTAAGATTTCGGGTAAGGGTTTTTAGAGCAGTATTATCGGTCATTTCTTAGCAGATTTCTAAAAACACAAGAAATAATAATATTTTAATGTTATAATTATATTCTAGCTTTTTAATATAGATAACCAATTAATAAAGATGCACGTGTCTGTTAGTTTGTGATAACGTCTCTTAACTAAGAGCTATTTCAGCTTCTCTTTCTTCTTTTTCTTTACTTTTCATTATTTTTTTTAAAAAATTATTAAGAGTTATGCTAAGGAACGACCGATAATGCTGCTCTTAGTATATTATAAATATGAAAGTACTAGAAGCAATAACCATCAATCCTTATTTTCTCCTCAGACCTTATAGTTTATTTTTTAATCATATAAATCATTTTTCAGATTTAAAATTTTAAATATTTGGATGTAAGAGTATTTGTACAGGTGGGATCCTAAAGTAGAATTTTAATGAGAGGCTAATATTCAACGGTTGACAACTGTGTTACTATACATGCGTATATGCGTAATTACATGTGAAATAGCAACATTTTGGTATGTTTAACAAAGACATGTAACCGAAGTTGTCAAATAGAAGACAGCCTTTGACCAAGTCAATCAGTGATCGGTGAGACCCATTAAATGGAATAATGTGTGTATTTTCCTACAGGATTTTTTTTGCCATGTAAAAAAAAATCGTATTTTGTACTTTTCTTTTATCTATTTTTGAATTATAATGTAGAGGTTTTTTTTCAACAAACCCAAAAACTTTCGAAGTCTACACTTCTTCTAAAATCTGAAAAAGATAAATTGGAACTAAATATTATATTGTATTTAACAAAATATTACGTAAATATGTACCTTTTTTTTACGTTTAGTTTTGGCGTAACTCTTTTTTTTTTTAAATGTTATTACTATAGCAATAATTACGTAAACGAATTGGATTTTTAACGATGCTATGACTTTTCTAATTTTTAAAATATTCAAATAATTTTATTTTATTTTGGTCATATATTCCGTTGAGTATTAGTCGGTTTTATTTTTTGAGAGAAAGGTCGTTTACATATAATTTTCAAAATTAATTGATAATTATCATACCATTTAAATCATAATTTAATTTTGGTTTTGTATGGTAGGCCCGGTATATTATTACTGTGTGTGACATATTTTAAACAAGATTTATGAATAATCTGGACGGATAATTCAACCACGCCTATACGAACTTTTGTGTGTACTTTTAGTTTCTGTATATTAACCAGTTTTGTTTATTGTAACCATTCGATCAATGCTTTTCTAATTAACTTTGAATTCATAAAGAATTGTATTAATATTGTTGTCCATGTTTCGAAATCGAAGTTTTCAGAATATAATTTTAATTGTTTTCATTTATGGAAAAATTAGAGGTGTGACTGTGTACTTGTTGAGGTCATTGTCGTACTATTTCATAGCTGTTGTCTACTTGCCTATATTTGCCTTTTTAAAGACCATATCTTGAAGCGAAATCCCGAGATCTAACATCTTCACTTCACGTACCTTTAACTTGTTTGATAAAAAAACTTTATTTATAAATATTTTTCTAAATAATAGTTTATAATACTCAAACACCTATCAACGTTTCCTTTGGAATTTATTGATTGAATATTGTTGTGAACTTAAAGCGGTGGCTACAAAAAAAAAAACGGGAGGTGTCTAATGCAATTTGTTTTTTTTTTTTAATGAAAATCAATTTATAGCAGTGCGTTGGCTGGCCATGTAGACTGAGAAAAAAATGGGTTCAAGTTTATTACTTTTGAACACGATGACATTAAAATATCCGGATTTTTGTTGTAAGTTACGTTATAGAATGAGTTTTTGATATGGAATTATTCGAGATAAAGATAATGTGAGTTGTGAGATTAGAGGAAACATCACAAACATATACAGTGTAGGTATATAAAGTTTTAACATATAATGTTAGGTTACATCTGAATCGGACCATAAACTTTACATTTGTGGCGCTAGAGCTATCAAATCACTCACCTAATTGTATCTCGTTTATTGAATTGCTTAAACTAATTGTCTAATTACCCTAGTTATACTAAGCACTAAATTTCATATTATGACAAAAGTATCTATCCTACAAAAAAAATAACAGTAAACAACAAAAATGTTTAGAAGTTGGAATGATGATAATTACTTACGACGAGAATGAAAACGATACCGATATACGAAAGCAATAGACATATATACATATATACATACAAAAATCGGTGGATGTAGATATCGTGACATGATAAAAGATACTTAAGATTGGATTAGACCTTCCCTCCATAATATCACGATTTTAATACACTTAACATATATAACCCTTGACACTGTTTCATGTTACTTTTTCTGGGTCCACTGAAAATTATTAATTAATACAGAGACAGTTGATATTGACCGGTGCTAAAATGTCTAAATTTTTTAATTATCCTTAAGCTTCTAACTAGGATTAATCGGGGGAGATGTGTCTTTAGTCAAGTGGTTAAGTCCATTTAACACTACTTTCCTCACCGGAGTTCGACTCCGTTAAATCACGTTATTCCGCGTAGTAGGAATTGGTTATGGATCGGGCCTTGTCGATCCAAAGAAAAAAAAAAAAAAACTAGGATTAATCGGGGATGTGCCTTTAGTCAAGTGGTTAAGTCCATTTGACTCCGCCTTCTCCACCGGAGTTCGATTCCACTAAATCGCGTTACCCCGGGTAGTAGGGATTGGCTATGGATCGGATCTTGTCGATCCACAGATGTAAAAAAAAAAAAAAAAAACTAGGATTAATCATAAATGTATTTTTGAAAATATAATAAGTTTTCCATGATATTACCGCATTGCATAAAGTGCTTAATATAAATAAGTCAAACTGAATCAGTACAAAAATTGAAAATCAATCTGAAAAGCGAATTGTATTAAGATGGTTGATATGTTATGTGTTTTTTTCATATAGTACATTATTTAGTATATACGTATGTGATGAGTATCTGTTTTCATTTCCCTTTTCAAGAGAATGTCTAAGCTGTTACCCACAGTTAAGCAATAATTAAAACATTTCCAACAAAAAATATTCATTCCACTTATAAGAATATTTTTGTTTTGTCCGTTAGGTTTTGTTGGTTTCCTCACTGGTTTTATTCTTTGACATCCAATCACTCCGCTGAGAACCCACACTTGATATCATAATATCTTTTTTTACAGAATATTATGTACATTAAGATCATACAATATCTGTTTTATACTAGTAACTTTTTATTCCTGATTTGATTTATTTTATGCGAGTTTTATTTTATTTAAAGACTTTCAAGAAAATTAAATTCGATTAAATTTATTTCTACTATTGTGTTCCACAAGATTACACGATCAAAGTAGATTTCGAGGAATAGGATTAAACGAACCAATTACAAACTCGAATTTTGATGTTGGAGAGGTGATTGATTTTACCTGTTATAGTTCCTAGCCGGATAAGTTTTTGAGTCAAAAGCGCTTAATCTTTTGGTAATATAGAAAAATCGTTACTAAGGGTTTGGAAACTATTTTTTTATTAAATTAAAATAGTTATATTGTGATACAAAGAGAAAACAGACCGAAATCCAAATCGGTAATAGAGAAAAACTGAATCCAGCCTTATTTTTTTTTTTTTTACAAAAACTAAAATGCATACTATTGATGAATTTCCCCCCCAAAACAATGCAAACCGATCTATTAGATTTGATTCCGAAAATAGTAAAAAATATTCTGCTATATAACATTAACTAAAGTAAATACAAGTGTGGAATAACACCAATATCAATAACCATTGGAAGTTTTCATACATTGTACGATGAAATTCAAACAAGCAGAGCATTCGACAAAAGAGTATTTTTCAATGAAGAAGGATGTGTGTGATACTGTGATTGGTCAAAGGTGGTCCTGCTCCAGACAAAGAGACATGCCACGTGTCACATCTCTTTCAGATTATTGGATCGTTGACTATCCTGTTGCAAGATTTGTCTGGTTTTGTTTATAAGAAGCTCACGATCCAATGCATTTGACAATGCTCCTGTTTTTCAAACAAACACAACAAAAAGACCTATTAGTCAAATTCCTCAAGAAACAGGTTTTAAGAGGGAGTTTAAGAGGGACCACGTTTCGACCCGACCCGATACGAGACCCGGTCATGAAAGCCTGAATTAAGGAAAAGAACGGGCTCTTTCTTATAAATGGGCTGAATATGGGCCTTAATGACGTCACCAAAGATTTGTGTTTGAACACGTTGTCGCACACGTGCCATTGAACTACATCCTCTAGGCTTTCCACGTGTCTTCGCCATGCACATATCTCTTTTCTTCCTTTCTCACGAAAGAGTTTGACTAAAACGAATTCCAAACACTTCAACAGCTTTTGATCAAGCGAACAGAGAATGGCGACTGTCTTGCGGTTTTTAGGGCGTAGAATCTGCAATCCAGCGGCGGAGAAAGTACGTTTGAGCAGTAGCTTAAGCGAGGGAGGTGATTTTCCGGTCTTAAAAGGCCAGAAAGCGGCTCAAGACTTATCCAAAGATACTCTAAAGTCCCATGAAATAACAAAAGAGAAAGAAGGTATGAATAAATCAAAATATAATTTGAATTAACTACTTCTTTAAAGAAGCAGTGAGTTTATCGAATTATATCCGTTGATTTCCAACAGGCCAACACAAAGAAGCTAAGAAGGAGTTCAAGATTTACAGATGGAATCCTGACAAACCTAACTCTAAACCATTTCTTCAATCTTTCTTCGTTGATCTTTCCTCTTGTGGTCCCATGGTAATTAATTAACGAAAAATTGCTGATTAAGTTCCATAGGATTGGTCTTAATTTGAAGGAATTTTGGTTGACTAACCTGATCATGTGTTGTATTAGGTTTTGGACGTACTGCAGAAGATAAAAGCAGAGGAAGATGCCAGTTTGAGTTACAGAAGATCATGTAGAGAAGGAATATGTGGATCTTGCTCGATGAACATCGACGGTACTAATACTGTCGCATGTCTTAAACCCATAAACCCCAACTCGTCGAAGCCCACCATAATTACTCCATTGCCTCACATGTACGTCATCAAAGACCTAGTCGTCGACCTCACTAATTTTTATCAACAATACAAGTAAGTGAAGCTAGTTACCTTCTTTAATCCCATATTGATATTGTACACTTTCAATATTATTGCTTCGAACAAGTATATACGATGGTTTCATGCAAAACTGTGGAAAAATGTTACTAAAACAAGTGCAATATGGAATGGGGGATTCAATTAGGCTAATAAAATTTTATTTAAGTGAATACTTGCAACATAGCATAACTCTTTGCGAAATCGTAAAATGTTTGAGTCAGATTCATGTGGGACTATATTGTGATGTACTGTCTTTGGAATTGAAGAGCAATGGAGCCATGGTTAAAGACGAGGAAGCCTCCAAAAGACGGACGTGAACACCGACAATCACCAAAAGACCGGAAGAAACTAGACGGGCTATACGAATGCATATTGTGCGCGTGTTGTACCACATCATGTCCTTCTTATTGGTGGAACCCTGAGGAGTTTCCAGGACCCGCGGCTTTACTACAAGCGTATCGTTGGATCAGTGATAGGTAAAAAAAAGTTGAGATTTAAATACCAGTCTTTCAAAAACTTGGTGTTCATTGTTTAGTTTTTTTGGTTTAACGCAGCCGTGATGAGTTTGGAGAAGAGAGACTTCAGGCGATAACTGAGAATCAAACCAAAGTATATAGATGCAGAGCAATCAAGAACTGTACGGCCACTTGTCCTAAAGGACTTAATCCAGCTAGTGCTATTTTGAAAATGAAGTCTAAGCATTTTCTCTCCGATCCGGTTGTGAGAACCGAGAGTCTCTAGCCTGAACATGACTCGGACCGATCATATATGTAAAAGCTTTTTCTCTGGATATATATAGTCATTGGCTCATTGCAATAAGATTTAATGTTTTTAATACGCGTCTCTCTACTCTTTTTATTGATATAACTTTTTGGAAAAGATCATCAAACACGTTTTGTTACATAAAAGGGAACTACGTGCTCTCCATAAAATCATCTAAATAAAGAATCAATGGGAGAGAAACACGGATTAATTTAATGACAAATCGCCCACTTTCTTTCTAAATATTCCTTCTTCTCTCTTACCCGACCAAGTCAGCACGCAACAACCATAATAGTTTTAGAAAAAATAAAATTAAAATCAAATAACAAAAAACAAGAAAAGTAAGAGCTGTCCAAAAAAAAAAACAGAATAGAGGTGATGAATTAACCATTAATGAATTGGCATCAATTTTCAAACTCACCACCAACTCATTTTGACATCGAATAACAAAATACATAAACATATATTCTAGTCGATTCTCTTTCTTTCTTTTTTTTCACCTAAATTATTAGTCCCTTATTTTTCATTTCCGTAGTAAAACTAAAATCATAATGACACAATATATAAAATTAATGACACCAATACAAAACACGAAACGGAAGAATCTTCGTTCCTCTTTACCGTCCGGCCGAGAAAAGCCTAATCACATCTTTCTTCTCTATTCCTCTTTTTAAAACATGAGATCTCTCTCTTCTCATCACCATTGATCTCTGGTTTTCTAAATCTCTTCTTCTGATTCTTATTCTATTTCTGAATTTTGATTTGTTCTTTGGGAGGGAGAGGGTTTTCTAATTCCGAGGCCGGTTCTTGAGATGGAGGAGAACACGGCGGTGGCTGCGGCGGAGAGAAGATCAGGTTGTGGTTTATTGAGTGTAATGTTTGGTAGACGTGGCTTGTGGTCCAAGAAATCTACCGCGGCCGATAACGGTAGCCAGAAAAGCACATCTACGGCTACGACCGCCACAAGCAACATTCAATTCACTAAATCTCCGGGCACCGAGTTAAAGAAGCCTCGTGATGATCAGAAGGTGTCCGCTGAGCCAATCCAGAATAACAAGATCCAGAACCAACAAAATCACAACCAGAGATCCGTAGTTCCATCAAAACCCTCGTCGAATCAATACCCTAATAACCATCAATTAGGGAGTTACGAGAATCACCAACGAAGTAGTTATAACAACAATAGTAATAGCGTTGATCCATATCGAGGAGGACAGAGGAAAGTGCCAAGAGAAGCCATTGGTTTATCGGGTGAGCTTGAAAGCATGATTACGGATCATCAGAAAGCAAAAGGAACCAGTGGATTGGTTCGTGCTTCTTCTAGCAATGTCATGTTATATGGTAATCTTGGCAATTTGAATCAGACCGGACCAGTAACGGCTGGTGTAAATTACGGTAATAACAATGGATATGGCGTGAAGAGGGCGACTATGGGGGATGCAACGGGGACGACAACAAAGAGTCAAGATCAATCAGGATCTTTGTGTAGAGCAATCTCAACACGAATGGATCCGGAAACGTTAAAGATCATGGGGAATGAAGATTACAAGAGCGGGAATTTTGCAGAGGCGTTAGCATTGTATGATGCTGCCATTGCGATTGATCCCAACAAAGCTGCGTACCGTAGCAACAAGAGTGCGGCTTTGACCGCGCTAGGGAGAATCCTTGAAGCGGTTTTTGAATGCAGAGAAGCAATCAGAATTGAGCCTCATTACCATAGAGCACATCATCGATTGGGTAACTTGTACCTCAGGTAATCTCAAAACCTAGCAATTCAAACTTTTTTCCTTATAGTCTTTACAAAAATCTCACAAATTTCGATAGGTTAGGAGAAGTGGAGAAATCGATATATCATTTCAAACATTCGGGTCCAGAAGCTGATCGCGAAGACATTGCAAAGGCGAAAACGGTACAGACACATCTCAACAAGTGCACAGAAGCTAAGAGATTACGAGATTGGAATGGTTTGATTACAGAGACAACAAACACAATCTCTTCAGGAGCTGATGCAGCCCCTCAGGTCTATGCATTGCAAGCAGAAGCCTTGTTGAAGACCCATAGACATCAAGAAGCGGATGATGCACTGTCTAGATGTCCGGTTTTCGATGGGGACACCAGCACTAGGTACTATGGACCGGTCGGTTATGCTGGTTTCTTGGTCGTCCGTGCTCAGGTTCACTTGGCCTCTGGCAGGTTTGTTTTGTTCTGTTCTTCTTTACAAATCTTGGTTTATTATATTTACTCGGTCTTCAATTTGACACTCCCGGTTTTATATTACAATTCTTTGGCTTTTGTGGTTTCAACATGGTATGGTATTGAGTGTAAACCGGTCAAATTCCAAAATCCAGGTTTCACATCCCAAAACCTGTATCTCAAATTTGATGTACCGGTTTACTGTTACACTTTTTTGGTTTTCTTGTTTATATAACGGACCTGGTAAAAACTAGAGTTTATACTGAAATCCCGGTATGTGTTGGTTTTATTGTTTGAAACCCGGTATAGAGTTATGAACAAGTTTTTGATTTGAAAATTCTGGTTTAATATTTAATTTTTTCAGATTCGACGAAGCAGTGGAAGCGATCCAACGCGCCGGAAAGCTGGACGGGAATAACCGAGAGGTGATGATGGTTTCACGAAGGGCACAAGCGGTGACTGAAGCTCGATTTAAAGGAAACGAGCTGTTTAAAGCCGGGCGGTTCCAGGAAGCGTGCATTGCTTATGGTGAGGGACTAGACCACGATCCACGAAACTCCGTTTTGCTCTGCAACCGCGCGGCTTGCTGGTCAAGATTAGGTCAATTCGATAAATCTATTGAGGATTGCACGGCGGCGCTTTCCGTTCGGCCGGGATATGGCAAGGCTCGCCTTAGAAGAGCCGATTGTAACGCCAAGGTAACAACAAAAAACTAGTGGGGTCAATTTGAAATGAATGAGAAAATTTACAACTTTTTTGTAATTATAAATTAATTACGGATGCAGATTGAGAAGTGGGAATTAGCGGTGGGTGACTATGAGATATTGAAAAAAGAGTCGCCGGAGGATGAGCAAGTTACCAGAGGATTATCAGAGGCTCAACAACAACTCATGAAACGTCGTGGATAAGACTCTTGAGAAATTTTCCGGTGATTAAGAACCACTGTGGATATATGGACTAAAAAAACACCGTTGGAATAGTCCTTGTTTGATTTTTTTTTGGGCCGGCAAGCGACAACTAGATGACAAATTGTGTGAATTCTTTCATTTATATTTTTTTTTTGGGTTTGAATGATTAAATTGTTTGTATAGGAATGAGATTGTGGGAATACTTTAAAAAAAAATATTCAAAACCTTCCAATGTCGAGATTTGAGTATCGGAGTACCCCTTTGGGTAAGTGGCTACTGGCTACAGCCACCTACGCGGCTATGCCAGGCGGAAAGTGGGACTCCAAATCTTGGCTTAGTAGAGGTAAAAGACAATGGACCTCGACCAAATATATATACCCATACAAAAATAAATAACTGGGCCACTTAAGCAGTGCCGTGCCAAGGCTTTTTGGGGTTTGGAACGAAAAATAAAATGTGGTCTATCTAATTTAGTTGAATAATTATTTTTTAAAGAACCTAAAATATAACCAAAAGAGAAAAAATGAGCTATAATACAAAGTCAAGGTTCTAAATCTATATAGTGAAATGAATTATGCTAACATAGATCAAACTTCAAGCAAAATACATGTCTGAGACAACTTAAATTTGTTGAACCAACAAAATATATTAATAATGTGACCTAAAAATCAAGTCTATAAAATGTGGCTGTGGACGAATGCCCTTTATGTTAAGGGATAAGCACGGCACTGCACTTAAGGTCCACTTATTTCGATAATGTATGTTTTTCTCGTAAAACCGTTTTGACTTTTGTGAGTATTACCAAGCACAAAAGTGGAAAGAACTAGAGTGGTTTTATTAGATTTCATAATTTTAAAAAGGAGAAAAATAAATAAATCTAACATTTTAAAGATAAAATGAGCGATTTTAAGTTTTTAACATACATATGGCTGCGTCTATTTCACTATCTACCATGAAATTAATTATTCTTACTATAATCCAAAAAACAGTGAATAACACCTATCAAATTTCACTATTTTTTTTCTCAAAACATTCTAGTCGTTAATTATTTGTTTTTAACGCTATCCATGTTCAGATGTTCTCCTATAAGGCTATAATATACATCGATTACTCAAATGTCAAGCATTGTAACACAAAAACACATTTGTTTTCATTTTTTTTTTAATAGAGAAAAAAAAAACACAAATTTTCAATCACACACGGTAACATCACATTTTGACCACCAAATTTATAAATAAATAATCTCCCATTACATCGTGGGAATAACGACTCGCCGATTCTTGACCGAGTCCGAACAATGATTTCTAATCGCTGACAGCTCATACGGCGAAGCATCACGAGCCAGCCATTGCTCCACTTCAAACTTCTCCTGAGAACAACTTCTCCGACGGCTCTCACTCATCGTCACTTCCACGTAATTACAATACCAACCGTGATGATCACCAGAGCCATCGGATGTCAAATTCATTGCACAAACTGGACCTGAGAGACAAGAACCTAAACCACTGAAAATGTCGAGATTGCCCCTCTCAAAATAGTCATGAAACGGACCCATTAAACCTCCCCATGACACCAAATCGGAGATAACCGCGTCTCGACCGTAACTGTCGTAAAGACGGAGGCTCATGACGGAGTCTGTACCGGCTTTCCATACCGTACCGGTTCGTATGTAAACCGTGAACACGCACATGTCATCATCATTGTCCAACTAATTAAATAACATTATTATCATAAAAATGTAACGATTTATTTGTAAATATACGATTTTTGTGTGTTTTTGCATTTTGCAAGGAAGTGACTTACGGCGAGAGCGGTTACGACGGCGGTGAGGAGGAGGAGACGGAGGAGGATGGTGGAGCTGTCTCGTGACATCGTCGTCTTATATGACTCTTTTTAGTTGGTAGAGCCAAATTCTATGAAATCGAGGAATGTTGAAAACTTTGAGATTTATTGTACTCCTTTAATTTGTTTTTCGCTTAGGCGAAGATTAATATAATAGTATGATTATAAGATATAATTTTTTTGTGGTTTGAGAAATTAGAATAATACATATACAGCTAATAATAGTTTATGTGGAATTGTGGATATTCCGGTGGTGTAGCTATAGTCCGTTGGAACTAATGACTTGTTTGATTTTTTCCAACAGATATGTTTTTTTTGTCAACTGCATCTCAGTTTCTTACTGGGATCAGATATTTTTAATTGGGCTTGGGCTTATATAACCCAGATCAGAATTTGGGTTTTGTTTTGGACTTACAAGAGTATTATTATAGAGAGGTATAATTCATCTTAACAAAGTAAATTAAATCAATTCCATAATGTAGTGTCTTATAAACGTAGCATATGCCCTTTCCTTGTCAAAACATATGCTCCTAATAATTTAAACTTACAATATGCTCTTAAGATATTAATTCTTTGTCAAACTTGAACCACTAGTTTATTTTCCAAACGAGTTTCTTATTTCGAAACTCGGAGAATAAAATTGTTTATGGCATCATTATCATATATATTCATATTCCCATTGAAACCAAGTTGGATGTGCAACTGTGCATCCACCAAATTAGACGGCCTAGATTAAAATGTCCCAATGCACATCACATTTGATTAAATATATTCGAATGCTTTCTTTAATCTTTTTATTTATAAAAAAAAAAAAGAACTCCGAAGAGGTGATTTGTGAACCGTTGAGGATTCCATCAAATCAGAATCTGATATTGTTTTAAAGACACCCACTTGTAATGCAATGCATACTTAATATGCAATGGCCTTTGAATATTTATAATGTTCTACCCTTAAAATCAAAAGATTTTTTTTTCGTTTTTTAAATAACTTGCATTATGCATGTTTGAGATCCCACTTATACAAATATTTGTGAACGGTTATGGAGTGTTAAAAGTATTTGTAGATTTTTTTTTTCTGTATAATACTTAAGCCCCGAAAATGTAGACACTGCCTTCATTAAGTATCACACATTTATATTTAGTGAGTTAATTTACATTCATGATTTTCTTGGAATATTCTGATTTCTTAAAGAAAATTAGATGCTAGCTTTTTAAAACACTTTTGCAAACCATGCGGATTTGGGCGTGGTAATGCTATATTGTCTCTCCTATATCAATATTTCCACTTATTTGTGATATCTCGCCGTCTTCAGATTCTTAAAGGTAGTTCATTCTATTCGTTTTAAAATTATTAAACCAGCACCGATTATTCTTGATTTTCTTATACTAGTTAAAGACACTAGCTCCTTAATTATATCCAACCCCAATTTTTCCATCTTCTGTGGTTAAATCTTACTTCTGAGATATTCTTTCTAATGTAATAATAATGTTCTTTGAAGATATGGGAGCTTGTTGACAAAAAGAAAGAAAGAAGGATATGGAGCTTAAAAACTAGAGATGACTCATCAAGATAAGTCGATAACAAAAAGCATATACTACTATTTTCCTTTTCGGGATATAGAGATAAAATGAAAAAGATAAACTACAATAACAACAGAAATAGTATTTCTTCTGTTTCACAAAGAGTGTCATTTTACTATTTTGCACACAAATTAAAAAAAACATTTAAATTTCTTTTTTATCTTTTATTAATACACTAAAATAGTTTTTGTTTCTAATTAATAAGTTGAAAAAATTTGGATAAAATTGATATTTTATTTAAAATTCTGCATTGAAAACACAAAACAACACTCTTTATGATACAAAAATAAAACCTTAAAACGACATTTTTGATGAAACGGAGGGAATAGTAACTTTGTTCAAACATTTGCGTGATAAATTTAAATTTACAGGATAAGCCTTATATAATTAATTTGATTGTTATGAGGGGATGAATCGACTTGATCATTATTGCGTTGGATTGTTATCATCACTAATTATGATATCTAATATATCGATAAACTTCTTTATCTCACACCTAAAGGACTAAGGGGAAATCAATACTATATGATGATTAATGATTACATATTTTTACCAAGTCTTTGAGTTCGGAATTTTTTTTTTTGTTTTTTTTTTTGTATGGTTAATTGAAGATTTATATGTAGAAGTTCATACATTTGTTATGTCCTAAAATATGAAACAAAAAAACAAATAAAAAACTTTTGTTATATCCTGAATTTATGTTCATATTCTAGAAATAAATACTAGCCAAATGCTTAAATCGTCGATTGATATTATAAATATTTTTACTCAAAAACAAGGTTATAACTTATAAAGCATTTGCTCAAAAAAAAAACTTATAAAGCATTTGCTCAAAAAAAAACTTATAATATAATGCAATGATATGAAGCAAGAAAAAGCAACTAATATAATGACAAAAGAATCATACCTTTTTTTCTCTTTCAGAAGTGTATCCGTGGGCCCACGATAAGTGGCAATTCATTTTCCATCTTCTCTTTTTCTTGCAATTATTTTACAAGTATCACTCATGAGTTTATAAGAGGAAAAATAGCAAAAAAAAAAATCATAGTTAAATTAAGTATTAATCAAGAATGGTTGTATATTTAAAGTTAGTTTGTCTTCTTGTTCAATATCCACTAATTAAAAAAATGTCCATTACTGTTTTGATTTAAAGTAATTTAAATTTGTCCAAAAAACAATTAATTAATTAATTTAATAAGGTTATGGGCTTGTGGGCCAAGAAGGAACTGAGTCAGAAAGCGTAGGAAAGCCGTGGGGGATGATGAAGTGGGCCCATCTACACTACCGAAAGTACGTTTTTAAGGCAGCAATAATACCGTTAGGCTTTGGCAGTTGTTTCCGTTACCCTGTCAATTTACTTTTTTTTTTTACTTCCCAAATCATAATATTCAGAATAAATTTGGACTATAAATACACATCGAAAGTGAAAATAAAGGTCAAAGAAATATAAAGTAGAAATAAATGAAGAATACAATTCCTTATATCCCATGGTATTTTTTTCCTCATAGTTATTCACTTATTCTACGTGATATGGAACTGTTCTGGTCCAAGAATATTTATTTATTTATTTCTTAAATGTGACAAGAACATATATTTTTTGCGATGCATGGTTTTTTACACTCATACGTCAGCTAGGATTCGATATTCTGTGTATGTAACTTGTTTTTGCGTTCATGTTTGTCAATCATAATAATTCATTTTTGGAGTTAGTCGATTGTTAATGTTATTTGTTTGTTCCTGTAAAATTTCGAACTAACATAAGGTGATATAGCTAGTGATATTACCCTTTATAAACCTGATGAAATCATAATCACAATATTTTTTTTGTTAACTATATACAATTTCATAGTTTCCCAAAAACCAAGTTTATGGTTTACATGGAAACAAAAGATCGAAACGTGTTAGCTCCATAATGCTTCGACGGAAAAAGGAAAGATAGGAAAGCGATGAGAAACACAGCAGACCAACGACGTAGAATAAGCTTCTTTACATGTAATCACACTCTCTCATTTCTCACTTCATCGCAACGCTTTCCAGCGCATTTCTTCTACTTTCTTTTCATTCCCCCAAAAATCACATCAACTTTATTTATTTTTTCTCTCTTTTATTTATATAGAAAATGAAATAGCCATATATTGGCTAATATGCCAAAAACCTCATGTCAATTTATACACGTTGAATGTTCCCAACTGATATTGACCTTCTATTATTGCCACTAATTTTAAGCTTTTCATTCTGCATGTATATATGTTTGATAATAGAAAATCCTGAACTGAAATTCAAATTAAGTCCAGCTATTTATATTGTTATTTTTTTTTAACAAGTTTTACTGTTGCAATCATGATTTAAATTACAATAAGAAAACTCAAATTTTGATATTTCAATTTTAAAAACGAAATTTTGAACTATTGGACGACCATGAGTTTGGTCAAAACTCACAACATATATATCCTCTTTACGTAAACATTATAATTAAATATATTTTTGGGCCACTTATCGCATCAACATGTGCCATAATCATATACGCTGTTTTTTTTTTCATCAATCATATACGCTGTTTTGGTAATGAACTAATGATATAATCACATAAGCAATTGAATAGTAATTTATCTTGACTTTACAACAAAAGAACACCAGTAAGAAAATAATTATTTTTAACAAATTTTCGAAAATTTGATTTTTTGTTTTACAACGTAACTGCGAAAACCTATCAAAAAGACCTAGCCTATTGATGGGATCAATCGGGAAGAGACCTACATGTGGACTTGGTGAATGCATGTCTTATTGTTTACTTAATTGCTTTGTTTTTTATCATGTTTGAAGAATCTGCCGACCACTAGAGAGGGCTTTGTGTTTCAACAGGGACACGTAACAAAGTAGACCACACGTGTGGTGTCGGTTTAAAAAGAAGGACAGATTCAGACGAGTCATATGGTTTGGGCAGCGAGCGACAAGCTCCTGACACGTTATGAACCTTTTTGAGTCTTTTTGGACTCGGTCCGGTCCATGGCCGACGATTTAGCCTGACACTTCAATTGACTTCCACTTCCACAACAACGTACGTAGTTATAATAATTGAAACAATCGAATATAAAATTTTGAAAAATAAAAATAAATTGAAGAGTATGTACTAAATGGTTTTAGTCTAAACCCATTTCATGAATAAAGAGGTGAACTGTTTTCTTAATTTGCGAAATAAGGAAAAAAAAATGTTTTCTAAGCAATTTTAATTTCTTGTTGAGGAAAACATCATTTTAAGTGAAGGACCATCTATAACGTCAAGAGAAGTTTCGTAAACTTCGTGGATTTGCAATTGTGCATGCACGTGTAGCTAACTAATTCAGAATCTAACTTTTTGAGACATTAGTTATATGTTGAATCGTCACCAAAAAAGATCAGATGTTGAATGAAAAACAATTGAAGCTTATTGAAACCAACACTAATATAGAAGATGTTCAAAGGCGTTGATTCAGCCGAAAAACACGGGTTTGCTTTACAGTTTATAACTTATTTTATACTAATAAATTCGGCACCAGTCAGATCCCTATGTTAAAAATAGTTTTATTTGGAGCTTTATTCACTTTTTTTGTATTCAGTTTTTTCTTCTTATTATATATGTAAATTGTAGTCCCATAAAAAATTTGAAACAAAAGATCGAAAGAATCTGAATCTATGGGATCGCCTGTGAAGCCTCTTTCTTCAACCATTACATATTTGCTTATTACGTCATCGTCAATCGAATGTCCGAATTAATCTTCTATGGCAAGTAATTCAAATAGTATACTGAATAGTATCCCTATTTTCACATTACAATTTTAACTATTTTAAAAACTTGTAAGAAAGCAAAAAACAAAGAAAGTTTTCTATGAATATGCTAACTATTAACAGAAACCGGAAAGGAAAACCATCAGTCTAAAAAAAAAAAAAAACATCAGTCTAATTGATGTTTTAATAAATATGTCCTTAAAATGATCGCGTTCACATGATGCTTGAGTAATTATTTCAACATGCATCGAATCGAAAATTTGGAAGCACATGGCAAAAGGAACAAGATCCTAAGAAATCAAGAATATTTATTTATTTTATTTTGGTAAAATGATTCCTTGAAAGACTGTCCATCTAGTATTTCCCGATGGTTTGAATGTTCTTGTTCATATATACATATAATTTACTGTATATAAGAATAATTTTTTGGTCGACATTGTATAAGCAAATATTGCGGAGTCTTAATTTCATACAAAAGAGTTAGTTTATTCTGATTTTGGTAATCTAATATATCGCGAAAATATAGCTTATTGAAAAAAGAGTTCTGATATGAATAGCTTATTAAGTTTTTTTTTTTTTTTTTTTTTTTTTTTTTTTTTTGAACAATGAGCTTTTATTTTAAGTTAGTTGGCTATGTTGAATTTTGAATCCGAGTTTGGTAAGCATTTATAAGAAATACCCTCAAAGCAAATATGAGGAATCCCACCTATTACCTAACAAGTAAACGAAAATTTTGTTTTTTTCTTAATCCCGAAGGTAAAAAGGTTATAATTAAAGATCCTCACTCAATTGAAACAAAATGTTTTTGATGAGTTTTAGAAGCTAGTATCTTAAGAGCATGTGCAGTGGGAGTCTTTCACTAAAGTCTCTCGGGTAAAAGAAAAATAATAAAATAATAAAAAGTATTATTTAATTATAAGGGTCTCTCCAAAAAGTTGAAAAAGTCTCTCAAAGTCTCTCACTTGAGAGACTCTCACCACTTTTTTGAGAGACTCTTACAATTAATTAATAATTTATATTATTTTATTAATTTTTTTTATCCGATAGACTTTGGTGAGAGACTACAACTACACATGCTTTAAATGTTCTTAGTTGGTCAGAAAGTCAACCGTTCCGTTCCCACATCCAAGAATCTTATTCGGCATGGTCAAACAAATAATGTAGTCTATTGGCTTCGTGCCATTGACTAGGTATTTTAAACCATAAACGTGATCAAACAGAAGACTGAATTTTCCTTGAATAACACAGATTCCTTGTAGGAAATTGAATTCTTGACCTACTACCTCTCCTCCCCTAAGTAAATTTTCCTATGGCTTTTTTAAAAAACTTATTTCTTATAAATATATTTATATCCGAGAGTTTCTACTTTCTAGAACGAATAAAAAACAGATTCGAATATGTTCATTTCAATGTCAGACAACTCAGAACCATAATACGAAGAAGGTAAAATTTGGTTGAAATGGGATACAGTATATATAGGTCAATTTTAAAATTTTTTTAAAAATTTGTATATAGAATAGTTATTTGACTGAAACAATTTCGTTTTATATTCCCACGCAATCCACAGGTTCGATTTGTTTACGTGCATTAGCAATCCAGAGTCCACAGGTTTAACAAACTACAAATATATTAAAGATATTTTTTCCTTCAAAAATGCTACTCCCTCCGTTTCAAAATATAAAGCGTTTTGGAAAACTTTTTTGTTTCAAAATATAAGTCGTTTTCAAGTTTCTATGCAAATTATATACTCCCTCCGTTTCATAATATAAGTCGTTTTAGTTTTAAGCACGCGGATTAAGAAGATCTGCTTTTAAAAAGTTCAACTAATCATAAAAGAGACTGCATAATATAAATAATTATAAAATATTAAAATAATATATAGTTTGCATAGGAATTTGAAAACAACTTATATTGTGAAACAAAAAAATTTCTCCTAAACGACTTATATTATGAAATGGAGGGAGTATTACTTTATTATTTTATGATTATTTTTATTATGCAGTCTCTTTTATGATTGACTGAATTTTTAAAAAGTAGATCTTCTTAATAGACGTGCTTTTATCTAAAACGCCTTATATTTTAAAACGGAAAAAGTATTATTTTCGCTTCCAAATTATACACTTACATACCGAAATAGCACTAGTACAAACTTACTATTTTCGTATGCAGAAAATCATATCTATATATAGCCCGTTTTGACAGAAAAAAAACAAAAATATAAATACATAGTCCATTTTTCTTTGTTATCATTGAAATGGGATGAAATAAAAAGTCATACTGTCAAATTAATTTAAATATAAATGGAGATAATGGAAAATTTTGCAAACAATTAAATGATATAATTAATATGCATTGCAGCCGCAGCTGGTTTTCAGGTTAGCACAAAAATGGGTGCTTTTGGTTTTCAAAGACAAGGGGCGTCTACGAGCTACATTTATATTAATTATATGAACTAATAATTACTAAATTTTATAAAGCTTCTTTATACTTCTTCTGTTTTCTAAAGAGTGTCGTTTAAAGATTTTAATTTCGTTTCACAAAGATTATTGTTTTGTTTTTCAATACAGTTTTAAAAACTAATTCTTTTTTTTTATCCCTACTATTTTTGCTTATTAATTAGTGAGAAAATATTGTTTAGTGTATTAATAAGGGGTAAAAATGAAATTTATTTACTTTTCTTAATTTATATGAAAAATGGTAGAATGACATTGTGAAACAGAGTAACATCGAACATTTGTATATGTGAATGCAACCCATATATATTTAATATTTAACACACTTGCAAGCAATGACACATGTATATTTCACTAGAACGACACCATTTTGTTACAATGTGATATCTTATAAAAAAATACGCAAAACTGATCACTAAAGACAACATAATTTGATAAGTACCAAAACCAAATGGGGTTGCGAGATAAATTCAATGAACAGAAAACGGTCCAAAAAAACAATATCCACGTGCAAAAGACAAGAAGCGTTACAACTTACAATCAAATTCAAATTGTTCTGATACCAACGATGAAACCGGAATAGACTAAAACTTTCTCAAAGGGTCAACCTATTTTAGGAACGTGATTTATCATCTCTCGCATATTTGTATGGATATGAGCCTTGTTAATTCTAACGTTTAAAGAAAAAACGTATATCACATTTTTATCGAATCACAGAATATACTACTACATTTTAGTTTATTCGAATATATATTAATTTTTAAACTTTGGTTAAGTGCTAACTACATTGAACGATGTTTCCATATACTTCAATTTTTTTTTTTTTTTTTATGTTCGAAATTTTAAATAATTAGAATAAGGCTATGTTGATCCAATTTATACTCTAATGTGTAATTGTTTTTTCGGTAAAACTTATTGGTATTTATTTATCTTCTTTTTTTTTAATCTTTTGATAAAAAAAAATTTTTAATTTTTTTTTTTTGATAAAACTTTTTTTTTATTTTTTTAATCTTCCTGAAATTTTCTTGTATTATTAGTGTCAGTTCATGAACAAAAGTTAGGTCTATAAGAAAGTTCGAGAGGGCGATGGTTTATTACAATATGATGATTTTATCTTAATTAAATGTAATGTCATTATTATTTGTATTGTACGTGTGGCTGTATGCATCGCAAGGGGTAATGCCCATACGATCATTTTCATTTTGATTGTTTATGAAATCGGTGAAGTCGATATGTTAGATAATTTAGTATTAAAACAAAATCTTACATGTTAGATAATTTAGTATTCGATCGGATATCAATAATTTATCATAACAAAGTATATACAAAACCCTATACTATTTTTTTTAATACGAAACAGTATCAAAATTTTGAATAATTTAGAGTATGTTATATAGATCGTGAAAGCTTTTGGTGTTTTATCTTATTACAAATTTATCATTAAAATAGCTACACTACACGTAATTAACTACATTATACATAATAGTAGTCCCCCCTATACAATTAATTTCCCCAAACGAAACAAAACGGTTGATATATACGTTGAAGTGGACATAAATTGGTTAGTGAAAATAATAATAAAAATAACTTGATTACTTAGTTATATAATATGATTCGACGACGTTAGGTTATTAAAAACATATATACGAATACGACGTAGACGAATAAGACATAGAGAGAAGGTGCTTTCCTTTGCATCGGGGACACGTGGTATTATAGAAGGACCATTTACACAAAGAGAAGAGTCACACCACTTCCTCGAGCTGGGCCGGCTTGTAGGTCCCCCACATAAGATCCTCGGTCCCATGGCTCCCACTTGTAACTTGTAACAAGACTCTCTTCTCTCTCTCTAAATACTAACCAAGGTTATTAGCTTGTGCTTCTATAAAAGCCACCTCTTGGTCTTCGCATCTTTCCCACACTAACTCTCTATCTCTCTCGTCTCTTCGAACACTTCAAAAAACATAGCAACTTCACTTCTTCTTCTTCTTCCTTCCTCGTAGTTTCTCGTTTGATCCCATTCTCTTTTACCTCCTCCTCTGTTCTGAACATCCCCTGTTTTTAATAAAATGGTGAGCCAAAACGTTGTCGTATCAGACGCCAAGACCGGGATCATAACGGTCTCTACAGTCTCTAACTCCTCTGTCTTTACTCCTTCCGCTCAAAAACCACCGACTGCTCCTGGTTACATCTCAATCTCCAAGAAAAAACTCCTCAAAAACCTTGAAATCAATGGGGCTCAAAGTCAAAGACTTAACTCTTGGGTTGACTCCATGAGAGCTTCTTCTCCTACCCATCTCAAATCACTTTCTTCTTTCTCTTCCGAAGAAGAACACAACTCTTGGATCGTAAGCTCCATTACACACTTTTTTTTTTCCAAGACAAGCTCTGTTTCTTTTTCTTATAGTAATGCTTAATTTTATTTGTCTTTTAATTCTGACCAGAAACGACATCCATCAGCGCTTGACATGTTCGAAAGAATCATCGAAGAAGCAAGAGGAAAACAGATCGTCATGTTTCTTGATTATGACGGTACTCTTTCTCCGATAGTCGATGATCCAGACAGAGCCTTCATGACTAGCAAGGTTCTTATAATCAGTCAAGATCGATTTCCATTTTTGTTCTGTTTCAAATCTCTTATTTTTGTAAATATTAAACTCTGTTCTGTGTTTCACAGATGAGAAGGACAGTGAAAAAAATGGCCAAGTGTTTTCCAACTTCTATTGTTACTGGTAGATGCATAGACAAGGTACATTTTGTGATACTTATTTAATTTCCCATTTTCTTAACAGAATTTGATTATGAGTCCATTTCAATTAATTATGTTTTGTTAATATATATTTTTGTAGGTTTATAGCTTTGTGAAGCTAGCAGAATTGTATTATGCTGGAAGCCATGGGATGGATATTAAAGGTCCAACTAAAGGTTTCTCAAGATACAATAAGGTAGATTCCTTAACTCACATAATTACAAAATTTCAATCCTGATCTTCTTTAGTTTTGCTTTTTTTTTTTTAATCAAATGTTGTTTTTTAGGATAAACCATCAGTTCTTTATCAACCAGCCGGCGACTTTCTTCCCATGATCGATGAGGTAAATAAATCTGTTTTTTTAATCATCTCTGTGTGTATTTAATTTTAGAATTTTCTTAATTTTTTATTTTTTATTTCTCTTTAGGTTTATAAACAATTAGTGGAGAAAACCAAATCAACACCAGGAGCCAAAGTGGAGAACAACAAGTTCTGTCTTTCTGTGCACTTCCGTTGTGTCGACGAGAAGGTAAAAAATATATATATTCAAAAACAATAATACGGTATATAATAATATAATTATCCGATTAATGTTATCTTTTATTCAGAGCAAAACTAATACAGTGAATAATTATCCTTCAAAAATATTCAGAAATGGAGCGAATTGGCTTTAAAAGTTCGGTCGGTGGTCAAGAACTATCCGACGCTGAAACTGTCTCAAGGTCGAAAGGTATGACGTGGCATCATCTTGTTGGTGAATGTCATCTAATTTAAGTGTTTTTTTTTTTGTTTTTCTTTTTGAAATTTCTAATTTAAATTTATCTTCTTACTTTAAACAGGTTTTTGAAATCCGACCTATGATTAAATGGGACAAAGGCAAGGCTCTTGAGTTTTTGTTAGAGTCACTCGGTGAGTCTCTCTTTCATCTCTTGTTTGATTTTATTTTTGCTTGTTTTAACTCTTTCATCAACAATAATATGGCTCAATAAATGTGCTTTTTTCAAAGTTCAATTAAATGTGACCAATTCTAAATTTAGAACTTCGGCTGTTGCAGGATTTGAGAACTGTAACGATGTATTTCCGATTTACATTGGCGATGATAAAACCGATGAAGATGCATTCAAGGTATACAATTCAAATGAAAATTGTAAATATTTATTTCATTATTTGTAATTACATATTATTCAAAAAAATATATGAATCTAAAAGAGCTATAAAGGATAGCCAAATTAAAACATCACGTTTATATAACAAAATAATACTCCATATATATAAGTAATCTCATATAACACTAATTATGTTTTAATCTAAATTAGCTGCTACGGGAGAGAGGACAAGGCTTTGGTATTCTTGTCTCCAAGTTCCCCAAAGATACCAGTGCGTCGTATTCTTTGCAAGACCCACCTCAGGCAAGTACATATACAATTATACATACAAATAGATATATCCATGTACGCATATAGAAACCGTATAGTTATACGTATATGAGATATGGCAAGTTGGCAACTATAATAATCTTCTGGTAACATATATAATTACAGGTGATGAATTTCTTGCAACGGTTGGTGGACTGGAAACAAATGCAGCAATAAACGTGGAAGGCGCAATGAAGTACATTTAGTAGTTTTTTTAAATAAAATGATCATATTCATAACTATAGGTCCATATATTCATAACTATAGGTCCATATATATATATATATATATATATATATATATATATATAGATAGATAATATGTACATCCCTAACCTATAATGGAACATTGTACAAGATCCTCATATAGATTTATCTTGTTCATCATAATTCTTTTCTTTTAGAACAAGAGATTATATGAACAAGAAAAATGGGGAACTTTTATTGATTGGGGATATATTTTTATAGCCTTCTATGTTTATTGCTCGAAGGCAATTTTTTTACTTTTCAAGTTAGGCTATTGTAAGGGAAATGGGTATATATAGTCGATACCTTTTGTATAATCATAATGCAAATGAGTATCATTTTATGAAATGATCATATTTTAGTTCCTGTATTTGTCTTCATCATTTATAATTTTTTTTTGTTTCAACCTAAATCTATGAATATCTTATAATATTCTCTCTCTTTCACAAAAGAATTACCGGTCTGTCTTTTTTTCAAATGAGATACTGTGCCATTTTTCTTCTTCTGAAGTTAAATAAGTTCCATTCATAATGCAACCATTGGATTCTTCTGTAAAATTCTGCACTCAAAATATTGAACAATACATTTTGCAAAACAAAGAGATTTCTAGAATAAAATTTATTTTAAATGGAAGAAATAACATAACAATTCAATGCGAGTTTTATATATGATGCAGATTGTCACCTAGTGGGACTTACATATCCTTGGTAGGTCCGTAACTTCTTTCACGACATGAAAAGATACAAAGTACTTGTGCTAACAATGACCACCGAGATGACAAATTCTACAACTTCCAAATCTTTTTTCTCTGTTTGAATTAAATCTTTTTTCTTGTCTGAATTAAAGTACATTACAAGACAAACTAGTTTCTCTTAAAAAAAAAAAAAATTAACGAAAGGACAATTTTTCGTCTGTTACTTGCACCGCATGAGAACCTACATGTTAAGTACGTGTTCCACTTCATGTCCATATCATTTGTCTCTCTCACCATGCATATTGGACCTCTCGTAGATCCTTAACACGTGTCAACGTTGGAATTGGAAATGTCGGTCCACGGTTAAGCATTCATAGTGTTGTCTTGTTTTTAAAAAGGACCTATGTGTATGATTAAATGTGCACATGGTGATGCATGTGAAGGAGAATGCCTTAACAATGGGGAGCCACATTCAATGGACACGTTTTACTGTTTTTACCCTTTCTCTGACATTCTCAACTAACCAAAATGGTTCAGAAATTATGATTATGATTATTGACAAATTATGATTTAAATCCTTTAAATTGCAAATTTTATTTTGATGATCATTCTCAAGTTCTCAACGTTTTAAATAATTAGAATATCTGGATTCTTCTATATGTCATGAAAATTAATATGGACTTCTGCTTCCTGTTTTTAACAAAAAAGAAAGAACAACAACCAAGCAAACAATTATGAAAGTGGTAAATGGTTTTACACTATGGAAAAGAAACCGTAAGTAGTTTGGATTCGTCTTAAATTTTAAAGTTTTGGGCTGTTTAAATCAACACGGCCCATTGAACGGCCCATTCGAACAAGACTTGCAAAAGGAAAACAGAAAACAGAGTTTTATGTTCACTGGTCCTCTGCAAGACTGCAACTGTCAAGATCAAGAACTTCCATTACAATTACAAAGCTCTGCAAATAAAATTCTAGAAATTTAGAAATAAATGAATTAAGAAGCTCAAATGGATTCAGAAGAGTTTCTCTATAGCGTCCCAATCAATCTCCAAAGAAGGATACTTGTGCAAACCCATCAAGAAACTCTCATCTTCTTTCATACAGTCGCTTGAGAAATCCAACAACGTTATATCCGACTCAGGAGAAGAGCCCGAAAACCCGGATCCGTATATCTCCCCAAATTCCGGTTCTTGCTCCGGTTCATGACCCGTATAATGAAAAGCAGAGAGCACCTCCTCTGTTTTGTTCTGTTTCCTGAGCTGAGGAAGAGGAAGATCAGAGCTATGGCAGATTGAGTCGATCTTTGCGTTGATAGAAGGAGACAATGTATGTTTATAGTGTCCTTGACGAGCAATATCGGGGAAATTTAGACGAGCGTTGTCTCCTCTGATCTTATGAGCAGCTTGATCATAAGCTAATGCAGCTTCTTGGGCCGTTTCGAACGTACCGAGCCATAACCGGGTTCGGTTTTTAGGTAGCCGAATCTCAGCTACCCATTTACCCCATTGCCGTTGTCTTACGCCTCGGTATAGTTTAACCGGTTTGGCTGCTACGTCGGTTTTCTTCATTAGGGTTGGTTTAGTGGTGAGAAGATGACTACCAGCTCGACGACGAGGTTGGTTTTGCCGGAGATGTAACTCAGTTTGAATTTGGAGGATTTGAGTTGGAGTGAGCTGGTTTAGCCCAATCGGACCGGTTTGGTTAGATTCCGGTAAGGCTTGGTTATTATTATTAGTAGTTAAAGTTTTTGGGTTTGATGAAAAGGAATACGAAGAAGAAGAAGAAGAAGAAGAAGATGAAGTTACCTTCATGAATGGTTCAAGAGCTTTCGTGAACTCGTCTATGTAACCATTCATGTTTAAAGCCATTGCCATTTGTTGTATACAAATAACCAAAATAAATAAATAAAAATTGGAGAAACAAAGAGGAACTTCTGGAGAAAAAAAGAAAAGCCCTACTAAGAAAACGAATTGACTAAATTATGGAAGAAAAAAAAAGTAGAAACGAAGATTTGTTTCTTTTGTTTAGATTTGAAATATTCACGAGCTTGTATTGTGTTTGATAGTTTCGCCATAAACTTTGGCTTATATATGTGTTATAGTCAGTTTCGGCCATGGGGTTTTCTGTGGTAAAAGTCAATGACGCTGATGACGTCATGTGTATATCGTAAAAACTAAGAGCAAGTCCAATGGTGGTAAAGTCTTTAAAAGGACTCTTAAACATTTTTTTATTATAAATTTTGATAATTTCAAAATTAAGAGTTTATGTTGAGTAGAGTCCTTAAATACGTTTCTTAGAAAAAAAATTATTTTTAAAATGAAAATTATAATTTTTTTTATTTGATAAAACTTAATAATTATTATAATTTTCTTAAATTTTAAACATACAAAACATAAAAGCATATTAAAAAATATAAATAAAAAACCGGAATAACGATTAGTCTTTAGTTTAATTCGTGCCAAATTTATGCCATATATGAATCTGAGTCTTAGTAAAACCTCATTCACAAAACAAGACTTTAGCATTTAAACAAAAAAAAAAAGATAAATTTTTGCAAGACAGAAAAATAAGTGTCGCAGAATAAAAAAAACAAGAGATAAATTTATTTTTGGCTTCTATATATTTTCCTCACCCAATCACAAGGCAACACAACATGTGTCCTTAACAAATCCTAAAACTCTAAACTAAGAAACAATTCTTAAGCTAAGAAACTCTAATATCTTGTTTTTATTAATTTTAATAATTTTTTAAGCTAAGGATTTCTTAAGAACTTCACTAAGAAACACCATTGGACTTGCTCTAATACTCCAAGAATCAAATACATTTGCATTTAATAAAAATATTAGTATGAAATAAACGCGTTGACAATTGTTAATGTCCACTTAACTCGTTTATGTTTTATTGGTATCTCAATTAATCAGGACATATTATGAAATTTTACAATGTGTTTAACTGTTAAGTTTATTGCATATTCAATTAAAATGAAGCACAGTAGCAAACTAGTACTAGTATTATAAATCCAAAACCCAAATTACAACTATATTTCCCTATATCATTATAAAGCATTATGTGAGTGTAAGTTTAAATGTGTAATCCTTCTTTTTACAAGTGTACCGCACATATGATTCATCCGAGTTTAAGAGAAAAACAAGAAAGGATCTGTATTTGTATTATTTAATCAACATTTTGATATTAGGGTAAAAAGTTAAAAACATGAAAAAAAGATTGGAACCAATCAGCTTTTAGTGTGGAAACAAAAGAGCCCCACATAGACGTGTTCACACGTTGTGTCCTACGTGGAATTGACTTGTAAACTTCGCAAGGCACCTTCACTCTCATTTTAGCACTAACATTTTCTTCAGTTTTTGGTCCTTTTTGTTATTTAGAAACCGACAAAGATGATTTATTAGTACGGAAATTAGACCTTTATACATATATATAAATACCTTGGATTTTTTAATTATAAGATAACATAGTGTATAAGAAATCAGACTCTTAATTTTAACAAAAGAAATGAGGCTCAATGTCAAACTATATAATGTATAAGAAAATATGGTCAATACTCTTTTTTTTTTTTTTTTTATCAGCATGGGACTTTAGGTTGCTTCTCGTGAATCTTCTCCACTTTTTTTCACTTATGCTTTTTCAAGGATATTTTTTATACCAGCCTAATATGCAACAACAAATAATGTGAAAAATTAAAGTCATACTTTTCAAGCTAACTTTAAACCACGCCTTATATTCAGTTCCAAAATATAGTCTTTTGTTTTTTAGTAATATGGATAGATATTGATTAAGAAACAAATCTTAATTGTTGATCTCAGATTCTTACAAAGAGCAACAGATTCAAGAACATGAATTTCCAACAGGAGTGTGTAAGCCAAACGGCAAATCAAAAACTTGAAGTTTTTGGAACAAATAGGGACATGTGAATACACCACTTATCAATATGTTTGAGAGACCCTTTAGAATCGAGAGAGAGAGATTTGATCATTTGAGTGTTTTTTGGTTTGTGCAGCGATTTGAAAATCATTCGTTGGTTATTATTGCAAGGGATGCAATTGTAAACTGTAAGAATACGTGAATCTTTCACAAATTGAAGACCAAAGTGACATATACACACTAAATTTAGTGGTGTGAGAATGTTAAACTAAACCATAAAATCGACCTAAATTTATATTGTAATTATCGTAATAGTGTTGATGCATATGTGAATTCTAGACAAGATTAAAAATAAAACCATAGAACCAAAAAGAATTCGAAATGAAACCGCTAACTCGTTGACTTTTTTCAAAAGTATTAAAATAGTTGACTTTTGTATGTCAAAGCAGAAACAAATCAATATCCCATATTCTTAATTAGTTCATTGCTAATCTATAAGACATGATTAGGTAGCTAACTAATATTTTTCATGATTCGATGGACCCTCTATTGATTATCAGTACCGATTTCTGCTACCTCTTATCTTACTTGAAATTTCCAACAATTGTTTAAAATGAAACTTTGATTATTAAAGTTTATATACATACTAAATCGTCTTTCTTAGCCCAAAAATTGTTTGCAAGTGAAATTAGCAGTAACAAAAGGATAAAGGAATCAAATGGAGAAATGCCAATACAGAGATCATTATAATAACTAGTCTCAAGGATCTGAAACAACTTGCTAGAAGAACCAAGTCTAATACTAAACATAGATGCAACATCAAATGATGACAGATGTTAAAATACATACATGGGTTGCTTTAAATATAAGGAAGAAGGTTACAAACTCTTACAACATTCAAACCAACAATCAGTACTTAAGTGTTGTTGTGTTGAGGTGTTTTCGTTGCTCTCTCCAGATCAATCTTGCAATTTTCTCTCAACTCTTTCATGGCTACAAAGCTATTGTGCTGCAGGTTATCATTAGCAATGGACATCAAAACACAGAACAGAATTTTTACGGACCAAAACAAACCATTACTCAATTAGAACTGAGAGTCGGATATAAGCTCTGAGGAACTTACGAGGTGGTTGCTTTCACGAGCCAAGATACCTTCCATGTTAAGAAATAGAGATGTCCATTGATCCATGGGATTTTCTGTATTTGTGGAGTTATTGGAGTTCTCAGATCCATAAATATCCATTGGCTTTCCTCTATCATTCCTTTGGATCAAGCCACTAGCTTCTTTCTGGCTCTTCTTCAACACTGCATTCAACCCAAATTCATATGACCATAAATGAAATTTACCACTATTTTTCGACTCTGTGTTTCCCAGTGTAATAAGAACACTTACCAGATAATCGGCCTTTGATATCCTGGTAGTGAAGATCTGACCAGATATATGCAGCTGAAGACATTCATTACATCCACAAAACAAAGTTAGATCATGTTATTGAGAATCAAAGAGACAGTATTAACAAAAAAACAACACTAAAGAATCAGACAAACCTTTCAGGCAAAAAGAACAAGAGCAAGATTTAAGCTCTTGGTCAGCTTCCATATCGTGATTAACAACAATTCCCATACCGTCAACATTCGAACATCTATTAATATTAAACGATTTCACAGTCTGAGAATTAGGCACCAACAAACCCGCACTTTCACTATTGTTGCAACTAAACAGAGTCATAGCTAAGTCTTCACTGGTAACAGCATCGGTTTGACTAGCACAGACATTCATATCCGAGTCTTTCTCACACGTCTCCTTCACAGCATCACCATCAACATTACTAGGTTCAACACCAATATCTACCGCGTTGGTTTCACCCTGAGATTCTTTAACATCGAAATTCTCAGAATCACAATCAAAACTACTAATTTTATCATCAGAAGAAGAAGCTTCATTTGTATCACTAGTCCTAGTACTCTCCTTGACCAAGTCGTCAACAACTAAACACAACCTCTTGGAAAACTTAACCCCGGAACCTTCACGAGCAACAAGGCTCTTACCAGAATCATCTCCAGATTTAAGAAGCAAATCACCCAAAATCGCTGAAAGACCTCTCTTGCTTGGAACATTAGTCATATCACACAATGCGGGACGTGTTTCCTTGGACGCTACTAAGCTGCAGCCATCTCCAGTCATCTTTAAAAATCACCCACACAAACAAAAACCAAAAAACTTTCAAATTTCCTCACCAGAAAACCCTAAAATTCGAAGGTACAGTTTTAATAAATTGAAGAAAACCCACTTCAATTCGGAATCAATTAATTGAAAAAGAAGCTAGAAAATGAAACGATTCGTACATTAGAAATGAAGAACCCTAAAATTAACGAAAGACAAAAATCAAACTGAGTTTGTTTCACTGACCAATGGATTGATGGCATCCGTCGTTGGCTGAAAAATCTTGGTTTAATCGGAAGCAAAAATGAGAGATCTTACTTGGTTTAGTCGGAAGAACAAATAATACTCAGTAGAGAATTAGGGTTTATTTTAGAGGTGGTTGAGGCGGGAACCAATTCTGATTTCTCCGATCCTAGATTTTTCTTTTGACCCGCGTTTCGAAGGAGTCACGCGCAGTCACTCTCACAACTACTTAATGGGCCACAATTGAAACTCACAGTTACATGAAGCCCAAAAGCCCAAGATCTACTTTGCTACGTCAGGTCAAAGATCTTATCTGACAAAAAAAAAGGAAAAGATCACCTCGAAAAGCACACCAGATAGAGCCAAAATATTATCCACTTATAAATCTACACGTCATTGATAACTACGTGTCCACGTCATCTTCCCTGCCGTAAAAGCATTAACAGTTTTAATTTCAGAGGATTTTCTTCCTTTTTCCAAATTTCATAAATCCGTTAGCGAAGAGAACATTTCTCATCAACTCGTTGAAATGGAATCGCGGCGAGAGAAGAATCTGATGGCGGAGGAGGAATCTGATGGCCTAATTGCGGCGAGGCGGATCCAACGATTGTCTTTACACATTTCTCCCTCGTTGACGCCGCCACCGTTGCTGCAGCCGGAGACGTGTTCGGCGAGGTCGAAGAAGCTGGATGTCGACGGCCAAGCTTTGTCGCTGTATATGAGGGGAAAACACATGGATATACAAGAGAAAATTTTCGACTTCTACAATTCCCGCCCCGATTTGCAGACGCCGATCGAGATCTCGAAGGACGATCACCGGGAATTGTGTATGAATCAGCTTTTAGGGCTTGTGAGAGAAGCTGGGATAAGGCCTTTTAGGTATGTTGCTGATGATCCGGAGAAGTATTTCGCAATCATGGAAGCTGTTGGAAGTGTTGATATGTCCCTTGGGATTAAGATGGGCGTTCAATACAGGTTTGTTGTCCAAATTGACATCTTTTTGGTTTCGTGTTGTTGTTCTTGATGGAAAAGTTAGATCTTGTTTTGTATTATGTTAGTATTGATAAGAATTTAGCCGATAAACACAGCTATGCAGGATTCATACTCTGTATTTGGTTTGTTTATACGTATATATTTGCAGTCTTTGGGGAGGCTCTGTGATCAATTTAGGAACCAAGAAACATAGAGACAAGTATTTTGATGGCATTGACAATCTCGACTACACCGGTTGCTTTGCCATGACTGAATTACACCATGGTGAGTGATGATTAATGCTGCCTCAGCATCTAATACTCTGTCTCAGTGTCATGCCTTGTACTAAGTACCTGTCTTTTTTTTTCTTAAGGGTCAAATGTGCAAGGTCTTCAGACCACGGCCACATTCGATCCACTTAAAGACGAATTTGTAATCGATACACCTCATGATGGAGCTATCAAATGGTGGATTGGAAATGCTGCTGTTCATGGGAAGTTTGCTACTGTTTTCGCTAGGCTTATACTTCCAACTCATGATTCCAAAGGAGTCTCGGATATGGGTGTTCACGCCTTCATCGTTCCGATAAGGGATATGAAAACACACCAGACGCTCCCTGGTGTTGAAATCCAAGATTGTGGACATAAAGTGGGACTTAATGGAGTGGATAATGGTGCATTGAGATTCCGTTCTGTGAGAATACCCCGTGATAATCTTCTCAATCGTTTTGGAGATGTGTCGCGAGATGGGACGTATACAAGTAGTTTGCCAACAATCAATAAAAGATTTGGAGCAACACTCGGTGAGCTTGTAGGTGGTCGAGTTGGCCTTGCCTATGCATCTGTTGGCGTCCTGAAAATCTCTGCAACGATTGCCATTCGCTATTCGCTTCTAAGACAACAATTTGGTCCTCCAAAGCAACCTGAGGTCAGTATTCTCGATTACCAGTCTCAACAACACAAGCTCATGCCGATGTTAGCCTCGACCTATGCATACCATTTTGCAACTTTATACCTCGTGGAGAAATATTCAGAGATGAAGAAGACTCACGATGAGCAATTGGTTGCTGATGTCCATGCACTCTCTGCTGGGCTCAAATCTTATATAACGTCTTACACCGCCAAGGCACTCTCGGTCTGCAGAGAAGCCTGTGGAGGACATGGTTACGCAGCTGTTAACCGATTTGGAAGCTTGAGAAATGATCATGACATTTTCCAAACATTTGAAGGAGACAACACTGTGCTTCTACAACAGGTCCTTTCACTCTTTTAAGAAACTTTCACTTCTCTTGAAAATAATATCCTCATAGTTTTTTCTCTTTTTTCTTTTAGGTGGCTGCTGATTTATTGAAGCGTTATAAAGAAAAGTTCCAAGGCGGGACGTTGACAGTTACATGGAGCTACTTGAGAGAATCAATGAACACTTATTTGTCTCAGCCAAATCCTGTTACAGCGCGTTGGGAAGGTGAAGATCATCTAAGAGATCCTAAATTCCAGTTAGATGCTTTCCGGGTGAGTTAGTGTTTGCTGTATATAATCTCTCTGACTCTCATTGGCTCCATTCATTACAATTGTTTTCTTTACATTTGTCTCCTCAGTATCGAACATCGCGATTGCTACAAAATGTGGCAGCGAGATTGCAGAAACACTCAAAGACTCTCGGTGGTTTCGGTGCGTGGAACAGATGCTTGAATCATCTCTTGACACTTGCAGAATCTCACATTGAAACAGTTATTCTCGCCAAGTTCATCGAAGCTGTTAAAAAGTAAGAATCACACCAAAATCATTCCTTAAAAATTTCACAAATCTCTTATTGTAAACCGTTACTTTGTTCAGCTGTCCGGACCCAAGTGCAAGAGCTGCTCTGAAACTAGTTTGTGATCTTTACGCATTGGACCGAATCTGGAAAGATATAGGAACGTACCGTAACGTGGACTATGTGGCGCCTAACAAAGCTAAGGTATGTTTTGTTTTATAATCATAATCCAAAAATTGTATCAGCGACTTATTTCTCGATTAAGATGGTTTAAAACAAAAAATCTTGTTTTTGTTTGCAGGCGATTCATAAACTGACAGAGTATCTGAGTTTCCAAGTAAGGAATGTGGCCAAGGAACTAGTGGATGCGTTCGAGCTACCTGATCATGTTACTCGAGCACCAATTGCTATGCAATCCGATGCTTATTCACAGTACACTCAAGTTGTTGGATTCTAAAAACTCAAGAACAAACATATATCATCACAATGATCTTTTGATTCGAAGCTAAGAACAAGAAAAAACAATTTACAGGGCGTACGAAAGAATCTGCAGTCCTTTGTATGTGTATTAGCTGTTGTTTGTTTTTCACAGGAGAACAGAAAAACAGAGTAATAAAAATGTCATTTTTTTTTGGTCTGCCAACCTCTATTTCTTAAGTTATCAGTAAAAAGTTTTCCTCAGAAAAGAGCGAATTCGGCATTGATGTCTTTACATGAGAAAAATGTCATTTTTTGATCAAACTATTTGAGAACTTTTTGCTATCAAGTTTTTTTTTTGAATTTAGTGTTAAAACTATATTCAAAAGAAAATAAACGTTTTTACAGATTAACTTTTTTGAAATATTTTAAATAGAGCTTCTATCTATTCTCTATTTCCTTGATTCAAACCAAGCTTGGATTCTACCTGCAGATTTCCAACAGCCACCACCTTTGAGTGTGCTCAAACGATTTCGCATATTCTTGTCTATTATTTTCATGAGTAGTTCCGACGGTGAGGGTTGTTCCCCGTGTCTCTTTCTGTTCCGTTCACTCCAAATCGAGTGTATGGAGTTTTGGAATACATACCTTAGCATATAGCTTTTCATTTTGTCAAGTTTGCAACAAAGAACTGCGGTCATTACAGTAGATCTATAAATAAAGGTGAAAGCTATTAATATGGGCAGATAAAACTATTAAGGTTTCAAAGAAAAGTTGTCCCATGCTGGGTTTTGAACTGGCACGACGATATAACCAGCTAATAGACAGAAATCTAGACTAATTTTACATCCCTTAGGTAAATTTTACAATTTGACTTTAAAGGGTAACAGTAAAAGTTGTTAACCAAAAAATGATCTTAAAATCCATTCAGGCTATTAATCACTCTATATTTAGAGATTCGAAAGTTCCAAAAAAGATAAGCTCATAAGCACATCACCAAAGAAATACATGTTTACACCGATTTTTTTAATATAAATGGCGTGGGTAAAACGTGGTGAACGTAAAGTATATAAATTGCAGAGGTCATGTAATCCCTCAAATCCTTGACAAACATCCAAAACTCTAGAACTGTCACCAATTGAACCATCCTTTTAACATCAAAAAATTTCAACCAGACATCATTTTAAAATGTCAAGTTGTCGGATGACATTCCTAATGATGTAAAAAGTTTGATCACTAGCGCAATTTTAGGTTACAATTGTTAATTCCCGAGGTAACTCTTGACCACATGAACACATATACATTATTTAAAGCCGAAAACAAAACATTACTTTATTTCATTTTGCTTTCTTAGGACATGCAATTGAAGTTCAGACAAGACAAGCAGATCTCGACACGTCCCTCTCCCAACATGCACACCTCCTCCTGCCTCGTTTACATATAATAGAAGTTCTATTATAGAACTATTATTATATATCCTTCTTATATTTTTAAAACGATATATTATGACACAAGATCACGATCGATACATGAAACTTAACCGCCAATAAAGTCGATCAATCAAGTATATAACATAAACTCGAGCAATCGCAAGGGATCATTCGCTTTTACAAAAAAAAAAAAAAAAAAAAAAAAAAAACTGTAATAAAACTTTATACACTAAAAAGAAAATGGTGGAGGTTCAAGATTTAGAACCACTAAGTCCAATTCAAGACGAAGATGGCGATGAATTAGAAGAAGATGAGGACGAATTTGAACGTTTTGGAGAGGAAATCAGCTACGACGATCTCAAGAAACGCATGTGGAAAGATCGAAACCTCATGTGTAAGCTCAAGCAGCAGAAAAGAGATAATCATAGCTCCGTTATCTCTTCGCCGTCATCTTCCACGTCAGCATCATCCTCTTCCTCCTCCTCCGGTATCGTGCGCCGAGCAGAAGCTTCACGCCGCAAGAAAATGGCTCGATCTCAAGATTCGGTGTTGAAGTACATGATGAAGATAATGGAAGTTTGCAAAGCTCAAGGATTCGTTTACGGAATCGTACCGGAAAAAGGTAAACCGGTAACCGGTTCTTCAGACAGTTTAAGACGTTGGTGGAAAGAAAACGTTCAATTCGATCAAACCGCTCCAAACGCTGTTTCTGATTACTTAACTTTAGCGGCTGCTCAGTTAATCTCATCAAACGAATCTTTAGATCCGAATTCGTATATTCACATGCTTCACGAGCTACAAGACACGACTTTAGGTTCGTTGTTATCAGCTTTGATGCAACATTGCGTACCCCCACAACGGCGGTTTCCGTTGGAAAAAGGTTTGGCTCCGCCGTGGTGGCCCAACGGGACGGAGTTATGGTGGGGAGAGCAAGGAGCTGCGGCGTTTGAGCATGGTCCGCCTCCATATCGGAAACCGCACGATTTGAGAAAAGCTTGGAAAGTGAGCGTTTTAGCGGCTGTGATTAAACACATGTCGCCGAATTTGGAGAGAGTGAGACGGCTCGCGAGACAGTCCAAGTGTTTGCAAGATAAGATGATGGCGAAAGAGACCGATACCTGGTCTCGTGTGTTGAATCAAGAAGAAGCTCGTCTCAATCGCCTCAAGATCTCAGATGACGAGGACGAGGATCGAGATCAAGAACTAGCAAGATTCACTTGTTTTGATAAAGAACCGGCGTACAAAAGGGTTGATCAAGAATCTTCCTTGAACAACTGTTTTCTTGTAGCGCAAGATCAAGAATTGCGGAATGAAAAAAGGGTTGATCAAGAAAAGTCGCTAAATACTTGTTTTCTTGTGGCCCAAGATCAAGAACAGTTGGGTAATAAGAGAAAAGGTAAGTTTGCGGAGCATGAGGCGATGTTATCTAATGTCTACACTTGCCAAAACTCGAGTTGTCCTTCGAGTGATGTGAGTTTAGGATTCGTGGACAAGAACTTGAGGACCGGCCACGAGATTGAGTGTCTCTACGGGACTCAAGAACTGGCAAACCAGAGTAGTGGTGGTGGCTCGGATGGGTTTGTTAGGTCGATGACTACGAGTGATGATGATTACAGCGCGAGCTCCAAGGCAGAGGACACAAGAGATTATCATAATCAAGATGGAAACTGGCTAGATTATCTCTGGTTCGAGAGGTTACATGACTTGAACTGTTCTGAGCAAGGATTTGAAGATCAAACGAGCACAGTGGATTTGAACCAATTACCAGATCATTCTGACTCGAATCAGACCATGAACGAGGAAGATTTCTCGTTATGGGACATGGGTTGTGAAGACAGAGATATTTACATGTCTCAAGATTGAAAAAATTGTCAACTTTGGAATATATATTCTCTAGTTACAATGTGTTAAAAACAGAGTTAAGAGAATAAACAGAGAAAATTTTGTTGTTGTTTGTTGATGATCCAAAGCTTTTTTTAATCAATCAAGAAATAAAACTTTTTTTAAATCAATTTTTTTTTGTTTTCAAAAAGAATTGTAACAATCTTAGTCATAAAAACTATGCCTTTGTGGAATGCAATCTTCAACCAGTCTTGCAGCCGCACAAGAATAACCTTTCCTGAATCTACCTTTGTTCAGACTCTTCACATCAACTTCTACTGCAAAGATGGCGCAAACCGGTCTATGATCTGAAAACCGCGATTCGCCTCGAATATATGAAAGCTGTTCTATTCCTTCTCCTCTCCATAGAATCCGATCACACCTGCAAACATTCCAAATTCAAATCACACCACACAAAAACAGAGGTTTTTCAGAATTTGTGGTTTAGTGTTTTAGACTTTGAACTTTGGATTATTACCAAGCAGGAGTACGGCGTTTTTTCTTGGACTTGGTCATTTCTCCGGCGTAAGCATCTGAGTTCTGAGAGTACTTATAGGTTGGAGCAAAGAAGATTTGACCTTCTTGAAATCCTGAAAAGACTCTTCCTGCTCCTCTTTCCATGTTTAGCTAAATCATTAGAGATCAGACAAGTTGGTAAAACGGAGGAAAGAATTGAAAATTGAAAAGACACCTAAGATCAATTTTTTTAATTTACAAAACCTGGTCTCTCTCAAGTAGAGTGTCCCAATCATTGTCTTCTAGTAATACTCTCGTCTCTTCATAGGTTAATGCAACTCTGTAATTCAAATCTCCAAGCCAAAGCACTCGGCTGGAAATTTGGAAAAACAGAATCTTTAGCGTTGCTTTTATAGAAAGAAAAGGATTAAGGCTTCAAGTAAACATACTCATGATCAACGATTCTTTCGGGTGCGTGACAATTAGGGTTCTTGGTGAGTTTAGGGAATTGAGTATGTTTCAGAATCTCAGCTACGTCTGCGTTTCTTCTCAGCTCATCACCTTCTTTCTCACCAGAAGCCAAATGGCTACACACAAAGCAAAAGCTCGTTTGGTGCAATGACATGCTTATAGCAATACATCCCTGTAAAAAAAAAAAACACAAAGATTCAGAATCTCTTTTAGCTTGTGTCAGAATCTTGATTTATAGGGAAAGAGAATTGTTTTACCTTGTTCCCTAAGCGACCCATGATTCCTCTCCCAACAGAATCAAGTCTAAGATGAGATATATGTGGAATCAACTCTCTTCTAGCCCAAACAGACAAAAACAAACCAACCATTTGTTTACTCGCGATCAATCGATAACTCATTTGTCCTGGCATCTTCGTAGTCGCAGGAACATCATCAAATAAGAAATTCTCATGAACCCTAAAGTTCTCAGGCTCCACATTGTTACTACTATCTGTACTAGGATCACTAAACCTTTTCGATCTCCTCGCTTCCCAACCAACCGAAGTATCGATAACCGGACAATTACAAGTCTTTAAAAGACTTGAATCAACCCTATAGTTTCTGCTCAAAACTTTAAGATTTGGTCTTTGAAAGAAACTTAGACTACTTGGTGTTCTTGATTCTTCACTACCACAACTACTACTACTACAAGTAGTTGTTCTTGAAGCAGAGAAAGCTGCATTCGAATAAACAGATTCTTGTTTCGGTTTGTTTAAAGCTTGACTTATTAGAGCTAACCATTTAGCTGCAGGCTCGTTATCCTCAACTACTAATACGTTTCCTGCACTTAGAGGAACAATCTCTTGAAACCTGATATATAAAGAGAAATCAATACACTAATCGTTATCAAGATTGAAATAAGACCCATGAATCCAAAAAGTCATTGATATCATACCCACAGATATATAAATCTGCTGTGCCTTCAACGAGTAAGAAGTCTTCGAGGTTAAGATCATTGTTTGGTGTTCTTCCTCCTACGTTCCACGTAGCTAGAAACACCCTGAGTTTTTTTTTGAAGAAAAACAGAGAATTTGAATCTGAAAACAACAACAGAAAGATTACAAAGAGACTATTTAAATTTCAAACCTGAGTTCACGAATCTCTGTTGTTGGTGCCATAGGCCTATCGAAACTCGACAGATTCAAGCCTTCAATTCCAGGACTTGACTTTCTCTCTAACAAATTTACCAGAAGAAAAAAACCCATCAAAATCAATACTTTACATTGCTTGGCAGTAAAGAAAACCCTAAGTTTTGATTAAAGACCTTGACGAAGAGACGAGTCTACATCAAAATATAGAGAAAAAAAAACCCCAAATCTTTGACAATGTAGTACGATTTATTTCGCTTTCGTAATCATGTGAATAATGTCAAAACTGTCTGGGTAGGTTACCCAAAAAATCAAATTATTCTTAACCACACATTGAAATAAGAAAATCAATTTACCAGAAACAGTCTTCCAAATCATTGGAGAAGTGTTGTCAAGAATCGATTTCTTTCGAGAAGCCATTCGTCGCTCAAAATCTACAAAAAAAAAAAAAAAAAGAACGATCCAAAATCAAATCGAATGGAATGGTTTTTTATTTGCTTGTGATGTACGTAAATCGTTAATTACCATTGAAAACTCGATAGTGGTCTTGGTCATCATTATCTCCTCTGTTGTTCATATTATATGATGCATTTTCTTCTTCTTCTTTACCACATCGTCTTGATCCGAAAATCTTAGGAAGAATTGACTAATAAAACAGAAATGTCCCACAAACACCAAATGAAAAATTCTAAATTAATTAAGTTTAAGTGTTTAACTAATGGGTTTCACGTCGTGATATATTCGAAGAGAATCAAAATTAAAAAAAAAACAAACCTAGTGAAAAAATAAAAATAATTGAAGGAGGAAGGGAGAGAGAACCTTCTTGATCTTCTTCTCGCTTTGGAGGCTGTTCTCAGAGTCGCTATCTTTATTGGAACTCATTAATCAAATTTTTCTAATCAGAAAATTAAAGAAACAAAAACAAATTACAAATATTAATCTAGGGTGTTAATAGATCTTGGAAATCGTGCGGAGAAGGACATTTGTTTATCTTATTTTATTTTAATTTAATTTATGTTTCTAGGGTTTGATTTGATTTTTTCACGACTATTGATTATTGACATGAGTAGTTAATTAAATTTAGTAGAAGAAGAAGTTAATGATTTCTTGTACACTAGTCGGTTTGAAAAGATCAGATTTTGGCGCCAGCTCCTTCGGAGGTTACAGATGTACTATGATTTCTTAATTTGTGTAAACATTAATAAAAGATTATTAAATAGAGAAATATGTATTGTGTTCGTTTGATGGATCGTTAAATTTTTACTTTTCAGATCTATTAGTCAATAAAGTTAGAGGAAACACACACAAGTTAGCCATTTAAAATTATATAAGTGAGATTTTGTATTGATGATTTAATCTACTTATGTTTATTTTATAATTATTAAGATTTCCTGACAATTATTTTTTATATGCAGTGATTATGAGATCTGAACCTTTTTTCTTTAGAAAAAAAGATGTAAAGATATAAATTAATGAATCATATTTGTGATTTTGTACTAACTACTAATTAAGTAAGAAAAAGCTTTCTGCCTCAAAAAAGATTTCAAATGAATTTCTTCTTTTCACTGAACAAACTGATAAATAAGATTTGAATAATCGACATATTTAATTTTTCCCAATATTAGTTACTGTATGCATAAAATACGAAAACCATTTTGCTCGAATTTAGATATATTTGTTATCAAGGTAGAGCTTTAAATATTTTTTATACGATAGTTGCCAACATCTTCCATACATGTTTTTATTTTTTCGGTTAAAACATTTTACATAATCTTTTTAAATCCTAAATTTATGTATGTTAGCCTTAGATAAGATTGGATGCGAGTTCCGAGGAGACAATTAGTGTCAGGATGGGCCGGAAATCTCTAAATGGGCTGAAGACCATTTCTCACTCTGGACTCTCCAATTAAACCATGACAGCTAAGATAGTGCAGGCTTTCCGCTTCTTTTTTTTTTTTGGATAGAGTTATTTTTGTTTTTATTTTAAACAGAGTTATGTGAAAATTAGCAAAGTTAGTAAAGTACTTTGCCACGAAGGTAAAGTTACACGACTAGCGCGATTAAATAACAAAATTACGAATTTTGGCACTCAAGGTTCTTCACGCTGAAGAAAGCAAAACTTTTATAATAAACTCATCACCTTCCTTTTCTCAGACAAGAACACACAAAACATTCGAAACTTCTGATCCTGTCTTCGAAGGTAACACAAAGGTCGATATCTTATTTGAGGGAAAACATAAATTTATCCGTATCAGGAGGAGAAGAGGATTCTAAAATTTGTAGCTTCTTCATGATTTACAATATGATTTTTTTTACCTTTTTTAAAAAATATTTTGACCAGGATGATGACATATCAGCCGTTGATGATGTTCGTTACTTTGTTTAAATGTCTCTCTCGTCTAACTGTAATCGTATAAGGAAAAAAAAAGTAGATAAGTAATTTGAGTACTTGACTATGTATGATTATTGATGTCAATCAATCGCATGCCATGATTTATTAAATTAAATTAAATTATTCATTTTATCTGTAAAGGAAAAAACTGGTATGATCTTATTGAATGGGCCGAATCTGGGCAACCGTGACAGCTTTTTTTGTGTGAGTATGCAAACCTGACAGATAGGACAAAGAAGCCTTTTACCGGCTTTCCGCCTTAAATGTTGAAAAATCAGTTAAAAGAGTTCCTAGAAAAAAAAAACAGAATTATCTGCCATCAGTACTCTGATATAAATTCTCCCATTTAAAAAAATTAAAAACTAGCAGCTAAATTAATTACTAAGAAAAATGCTCTAACTTTGCCACGAAGGTAAAGTAACAACTAGCAATTAATTTAAAAAAAAAAAAAAATTAATTGCCCTTAGGGTTCTTCACGCTGAAGGCAGCTCAAACTTTTTATAAACCCAACAATTCCAATATTCAGACAAGAACACACAAAAGGCACGAAATACAATATGATCACGTCCTCCGAAGGTAACAATAAAAACCAATACTTTTATTTGATGCTCTAGTCTTCCCCTTGGATGCGTTTTCTTCTTAAACTTCTCCATAGCAGGGTATGAAGATGATTTATATTATATGTAGCTTTTCTTATGAATAACAAATCAGAATTTTTTGCAATTTTATTTTCCCAATCAGTCCTTGGTGGTGGTGGTGGTTACTTGAGCAGCAGGAGAGTCTCCGGTGGCTTGTTTCGGGAACTATTTTCGGGTGACATTGCTCTTGCATCCTCTGTTTCCCTAGACTTCTTCATCTTCCCCATCTGTAAGAAATTTGTTTTACATTTCTTTTTATTTTATAGGTGATACTAAATATTACTGAGAATAAATCTACATTTTCTAAGCATGGTTTTATTTTTGAAATTTTTTCAATTTAAATTATGGGTTTCACTCAAAATTTAGCATCCATCCTGTGTAGGAAACACTTTCTTACATTTATTTTTTCTGCATATACAATAATTTTAGAGAAAATCACACTTTAAGAGCATGTTTTACCATGGGGTTTGCTCAAAATTATGTAGAATCCTGACCATCAAAGTCCTTAACTTTTCATCTGTCCGAAACTTCCTTAGTTTTAAAGCATGTTTCTTTAATAAAAAAGAGTTAAAGTATGGGTTTATTTAACTCAAAAACTTCCACTATTCATCGAAGTATATGCAAGTGTATTTGTAAATCTAAGTGTGTACTGTGTAGAGATGATTTATTATATTCTAGAAACATAAGAGATGGTAATTATCCAAAATTAAAATTTTTAAAAAAAAAAAAAAAAAAACCACAATAGATGGTACCTTTTTAAGCTGGCTTGTCAAAACCTGGTTCTCTTCTATCAGCAGCTTCTCCTGTTTGGACAACATCACAACTTTATTAGTTTTTTTCTAAAACATCCTCATCACAAATTTGGGTTATTCAGCCAGGGGGAAGGTCGATGACATATCTAGAGAGCTTAACTTTGTCTAGTGATCTTCAGACTCAAGAGTTTAAGAGGATTCAAGAATCAGCATAGCTTGAGATGGCGAATAAAAACCAAAAATACTAACCTTCTCTTGAAGGGTCTTCACAAACTCCATCGTGAGTTCTGCCTGTCACAAGACATTAATAGTTTATGCATGTCAAACAGGGGAAATGATCTGAAGTGCAAAGTCCAAACACTGTTCTTGGACCAAATATTGTTGAATAGACGGCTGAATAACTTAGTAGCAGCATATATATACCTTCCTAGCTCTAGTTATAGACAGAGCAGTCTTGATCTGCTCTTCCAGGGACTTTAGACAATCTATACTTACATTATCGCTTTTCGTTTCTTCAATCTTGCTGCATATATATTCATAGATAAACGACAGACAAGAAAAACAACTTCTATAATCAGAGGAAGAGGGGGAAAAAGGAGTCTTAGTGCTAACCATTGGATTATTTCTAGCAACTCCTTGTGTGAAAGATAATTAAGATTTTTTTCTTCTAGATCCTGCCATGAAAGAAAGATTTTGAATTTCTTTTGTTTCCAGGAGACAAATGATTATAACCATCGCTAATTGAGTTTGGTATAGACAAGTTTAAAACCTTGCTGTTGACTTTCTAGTGCATCACCGGCAGTGAAGAACAAAGTACTTGAACTTCTATGCCGATCTCTCTCCACAATCTTAAGACACTAGTGCACTACACAAATGGAACTATTCTAGCTAAGCTTCTAAATGCTCATCTCAGTTACATATGCCTTGGAAGACTTTGAGAGGGATGGGTGTATATATGGATGACAAGAGATGTTTCTAATATTCGAGAACTAAAGATAGGGTTAGCAACTAAGTTTGGCATACTACAAGTTTAGAACCATGTCGTAGACTTTCTAGTGCAATACCAGCTGTGAAGAACAGAGTATCTCTATCCTGGTCTTTATCCACAATGTTAAGGCACTACAAAAAGTATCAACATAATAACCATCTCAATGGACTATAAGCTATCTTCTAAATGCTCATCTCGATTACCTAAGCATGCGACCGGATATGCAAGTATCTAAGAAAAACTTACCAAGGTTTTAAGATCATCAGCCTGTTGTAATTCATAACGACTGAGGATCTTGGCCATGCTGGAGAGATCAAGAGAGAAACAAAAAGCCATTAGAGAGACTTTTTTGAAACTTCGAAACAAATATAATTAACATCAATAGAGAGACTCTTAGAGAAAAAGGAAGGATCTATATCTATACATGTTATTTATAGATAGCCTTAATTCATGTTATAGCATCAATTTGGGTTAATTAGCCTTGCTCTAAGACTTGTTTATAGAAATGTTAGTGTATATAACTTAAAAATAAAACAAGGTTTGTTAACCAATAGTGTTTTTGTACTTTTCCTACGATAAAACTTATATTTTGTGATCGACTTCTTTAGTTTTAATATTCAGTACACAATGTTTTCTTTCATTTAATAATGTCAATGCATATAATATGGGTAAATTTTACTACATAAAGAGTAAACCTGAAACGCTAATGCTGTAAATTTTGTTGCAATAACTACCAAGTCCATCTTCAATTTTGTAGTGGCTAAATTGTTTTGAACTTAGAAAGGTTTTGGATATATATGCACAATTTCTTCCAGTGAGTAACAAATTACCTCTTTCTTATCAAAAGCTAAATCAATGATCTAACTTTTGTTATTTTACCAATCTAACAGCAGACAGCAAAGTATGATTGGATGGATACATTGAATAGCATATTTCCCCTGTGATAAAATCTTGATAAATACATGTTCGTAAGTGAAAATCTCTATATGTTTGTAAAAGTTGCCAAATTTATATATCAAAAGCTCGAAATTCCGTCCACATAGTATTGAAGCTCTCACACAATCATCTCAAATGGAAATTTTGAAAACAAAATTGGCTATATGCCCATATACATAAGATTTTGAAATACTCCTTACACAATACATCAAAAATGGGGTTTAGCATTTTAGGGAAGGTTACAAATTGATAGTATTCAGCCCAAATCAAGTCCACAAAAGACACACCACAAAACATAGCTTATGTGTGAATGTGCCTCAAGGTCTTAAAAGGCATTCTAGTTTGTTCTCCTCCTATCCGATGTGAGATTTCTTATCGATAACTACGTTTCTTTTCACAAATTCATTCCTACTTTGTGTCGTATGTGATCTATATTGCAAGACTTCAATTTAAACAGTGAATTTAATTGACTTGATCTCCATGATGTAAATAGCGTCCTAAGCTGTGATCTAACATTATGCAATTAGTGAGGCACATAGGATTATCCTAGAGGTCACAACTCTTATCCTATGATAGGAAGTACAATCTCAAGTGAAAACACTTCTGTATATATAGGGCCACTAAATTAAAGTACCAGCGGAGCTACCAAGAAACTAGCTACAACTAAGAATTTTGACTATTTTAATAAATTAAAGCAAAAAAAGAAAGAAAGAAGTTCCATCAGTTCTAAGATCCTATCAATAGTGCCTGTTAGTTGCCAAATTATCATGTACTTTCATGATCAAGCATTTGTGATATTATTATGAGGGAAATTATAAGAAGCTTTATAAACATTTATATTTCTATTTCTACAAGGTCTCAATTCCGTTCATTTTAGTCACATAGCAATGGTTAGAAAGTGAAAAAGATTAAATGTATCGTACCAAGTGATTGTAGAGACTCAGTTTCTCTGGCCCATGAGATCCAATAACTCAACAAGAAAAGAGTTAAAAATGCATTACAAAAGAGAAGGGAGTAGTTCTAGAAGAAAAAGAAAGAGCTACACAATGTGTATACATGCATCTTCAAGTTGTTATAGGCACACAAAAATTACAAGTATAGAGGGAGAAAATGGCTTGTAACCGGGTGGTATATACTAGTGTCACCGTTGTGTCATAACTCACATTCAAAATGTGCATGTATGAATATTATATGAACAAAAGAGAGAAAATCGATATCCGTTCAAAGGAGTAATGCAGTATGTGTGGATAGTGTTAATTTGAGTCTTTTTCATAGTTATTCAAACACTATATTTGACCATCAAAATCAGCTAGAAACCTTTTACTTAAGCCAAAAATCAATAAAAAGAGAACTAATAAATAAATCATCTACAATATACTTGCAATCAACCAGAAATTGCAATGTGGCATCCCTTCCATTCTAGAGACCTTTGATAAATTTCTCAACAAATCTACCGAAGGTGGATTTAGTTGAGTAAAAAAGTGGATAATTAATGAGCCTAAATTAATCTCAAAAGTAAACAAATGTACTTACATTTCTTCTATGACTCTACAACAGAATAAGTTACACAAAAATTAAGATGGCTTGAAATCCCAATAGACAAACATAAAGTACGGATTACCACGTGTAGAAAGATCTATCCAAATGCATGCAATATATATTCTCACCAAAAAAAAAAAGGATAAAAAGGAAAATAAAATCCCTGCAACAATAGAAAATGATAAAACACAAAACAAACACCAAGTATATATCTTTGGCCACCACATTGTTTAATCTTAAATTTGGTTAAACCTATACATCGATTACGAAGATGAACAAAACACGAAGATCAGCTTTAAAGATTCAAAGGGGCAAAAGAAAAAACCCTAGTTCTTTAGTTTATATTTTCCTCGACATAATCTAACAAAAGAGAGACTTTATAATAGGAAATAATGGTGTTACCTATCGCCAGAGGAGAAGCTGTAGAGTCTTCCGGTGGCAGAGATGATGATAAGAGCGACGGAGGATTCACAGAGAATTGAGAGTTGACGAGCTTTCTCCATGAGTCCATTTCGTCGCTTACAGAAAGTAACTTGTCGAGAGCTTTTGTTCTCAATTCGTTTGATCTCCACTTTTCTTCTTCCCATGGCTTCTTTCTCCGACAACTCTTCTGACCTAATTTGATTGTGATGTCTGTATAACTCCCCGGCGACACTGAACGTTTTTGCTTTTTTTTTTTTTTTGTTCTTTTTTTCTAAAAATTCAAAAAAGTTAAAATTGTTTTTGTTTTTGCTAACGACAGAGAAAAGAAAAATTCTTGCTTAAACGATGCGTTTTAATAGAGTTTAGACACGTATTAACGCATGTCGAGTTCCCTTTGTGGCGCGTTTTCACCTACTTGTATTATCCCTTCGTTACGTATATATCCAACAAATCGAAAGATGTGACCGACTGACCGGTAAGTCCGTTTTGATTGGACTCAAATAACCCGACCGAACCAAAAATAAAATTGATCATTCAAAGATCGAATTTAAAATCAAAATTCAAACCAATCCGAAATTAAATATGTTTTCCCAAATTTAAAAATTTGAACCGAGTTAAACCGAAATGTATTATACTATTATTTATCAGCAACAGTTGCAAATGAAACAAACAAAAATGAAAAAAGTGTACAACTAATTCTGATGGGCCATCGTATTTAAATTATGGGCTTAAATGGGCCGATGCTGGACTCGGTCCTAACAGCGCAGACAAGTAAGTTTTCTGCCATATTCTATTATTCTTTCTGAAAGAACTATTTTTGGAGTTACAAAAGTAGATTTGATAAACTTGGAAAAAAGACAAAATATCTGATGTGGTTGAATCAAATTAAAACTAAATAACTATGCCACGCAACGTACGACAAGTAATTAAACTAACAATTAAAATAAGGGAAGCCAAAAGAATTAAGAAGCTCTAGGGTTTTCTTCAGGCTGAAGAAAGTAAAACTTTAAATCCAATCCGTACCATACTTTCAGACAAAGAAGACAAATATAATTAACATCAATAGAGAGACTCTTAGAGAATAAGGAAGGTTCAATATATATACATGTTAATTATATAGCATTAATTCATGTTATAGAATCAATTTGGGTTAATTAACCTTGCTCTAAGGCTTGTTTATAGAAATTTTAGCGTATATAGCATAAAAATAAAACAAGGTTTGTTAACCAATAGTGTTTTTGTACTTTTCCTACGATTAACGTATATTTTGTGATGGACTTCTTTACTTTTAATATTCAGTACACAATGTTTTCTTTCATATTAATGTCAATGCATATAATATGGGTAAATTTTACTACATAAAAAGTAAACCTGAAACGCTAATGCTGTAATTTTCTTTGCGATAACTACCAAGTCCATCTCCAATTTTGTAGCGGCTAAATTCTTTTGAACTTAGAAAGGTTTTGGATATATATATGCACAATTTCTTCCAATGAGTAACACATTAACACAATCTCCATATGTTTGTAAAATTTGCCAAATTTATATATATCAAAAGCTAGAAACTCCGTCCACATAGTACTGAAGCTCTCACACAATCATCCCAAGTGGAAATTTTGAAATACTCCTTATACAATACATCAAAAGATATGGGGTTTAGCATTTTAGGGAAGGTTACAAGTTGATACTAGTATTTAGCCCAAATCAAGTCCACAAAAGACACACCACAAAACATAGCTTATGTGTGAATGTGCCTCAATGTCTTAAAAGGCATTCTAGTTTGTTCTCCTCCTATCCGATGTGAGATTTCTTATCGATAACTATGTTTCTTTTAGAAGTGGTGCCTCTTCAAATTTGTCTTCACCAGCTGCTTTCAATTGGCAAACTGAGATTTGGAGACTTCCTATAGCCCAAAAGATCAAGACGTTTCTCTGGAAAGTGATTCAAGGAGCCTTGCCTACAGGCAGCCAGCTTATCTCCAGAGGCATTGACATCAATCCTGCTTGTAAAAAGTGTGGTGAGCTGGAGTCGATACACCACGTTCTCTTTAGCTGCAGGTTTGCTAGAAAAGTTTGGGATTTGGCACCTTTTTGCAGGTCTTTTGATGTTGATAGTATCCAGGAGGTGAAAGGAGTGACTCGTGGTAATAAGTGTATCTGCCTGCCACCAGTGGGAATCTCCTTTACCCCTCTGTTCCCCTGGATTGCAAGAAACCAAGATGTGTTCAATCTCAGAAGTTTTTCAGCTGAAGAGACCTTGCTCAAGGCGATCAAGGAAGCTGTGGAATTGGAGTTAACCCACCGGACTCATGAAGTCTCTCCGGGAGTGAATGAGTTCACTCTTTGCAGAACTTGATGACAGCAGGTTTGGGATGGACGTTTGCATCCTCTCCGCTGGACTACACAAGGCGGCACTCGGCGATCTGCACATCTGTTGCCTCACCCCTTATGGCGGAAGCTCTCGCAGTTCGTTCTGCCCTCACAACTGCAAGGAGTCTACTGATTTCACGCATCAAAATTGAGTCGGATTGTAGTGTTTTGATCAAGGCGATCCACACTAAATCTATGCTCGCTGAGATCCATGGTGTGCTCTCTAATATTTTATTATGCTCTGCTTCTTTCCAACTTTGTTCTTTTAATGTTATTCCTAGGACAGCAAATCGTGTTGCTGATTCCCTAGCAAAGTCTGTGTTACAGTTGTATGCGGCAAACATTCTCTAAGTTTAATGAAAGTATTTTGTTCAAAAAAAAAAAACTATGTTTCTTTTCACAAATTCATTCCTACTTTGTGTCGTATATGATCTATATTGCAAGACTTCAATTTAAACAATGAATTTAATTGACTTGATCTTCATGATGTAAATATATATAGCGTCCTAAGCTGTGATCTAACACTATGCAATTAGTGAGGCACATAGGATTATCCTAGAGATCACAACTCTTATCCTATGATAGGAAGATCAATCTCAAGTGAAAAACACTTCTGTATATATAGGGCCACTAAATTAAAGTACCAGCGGAGCTACCAAGAAACTAGCTAGAGCATGCGTTGGATGAAGAAAGAGTTGCAACTTCTGATGGGCCATAAATTTTAAATTATGGGCCTCAATGGGCCTAACAGCCGAGACAAATCATTTTCTGCCATATTCTTTTCTGGAAGAATTATTTTGGGAGTTCCTTAAAATTAGAATTGATAAACTTGGAAAACGAACAAAATATCCTAGTAAGGTTAAATAAAATTTAAACTAAATAACCATGCCACGTAACGTACAAATAATCAAATAACTAACAACTAAAAAATATATAAGTAAAACCAAAAGATTTACACCTAGGGTTCTTCACGCTGAAGAAAGCAAAACTTTGAATCCAATCGGTACTTTCAGAAAAAAAAGACAAACACACGAAGAACTCTGATATTGTCTACAAAGGTACAACAAAGATCTATAGCTTTATCTTAGTTTTAAAATTCTTTTACAATACAAGAAAAGAGCTTCTGTTTTTTTTGTAAGGTTGAGATTATGCAGCTTTTTATAATATACAAATGTTTTTTTTTCTTATTCTTCCCCAACTGTAAGAAAGTTTCTTACATTATTTTTTTACAGCTACTAAAACATTATAACAAGAAATTAATCCTATATTGTCAAACGATTTTTTGTTTTCTTTTTAAAAATTCCATTAGTTAAAACTACTATTCAACTAAATAGTAACAAGAAATTTGGATTTTGAAAGCATTTTTATCACAGATTTTAAGATTTAGCTTCTAGAATCATATATCAGAGATGTTTTTGTCACCTGGCTATGGCTAGCCAGAATCTGGTTCTCTTCTCTCAGCAACATCTCCTGTTTGGACAAGATCAAAAGGTCATTAGTTTCTAATAAGTTCTGAAGCTATCTGAGCATGATCCTCATCCAAATGGGTAATTCATCCAGGGAGAAAAGTCGAATTTGATCACGAGCTAATAAGTGCCTTTTTTGGTTCTAATTAGGGTTTCATCTAAAATAAAGCCAAGAATAAATCAGGAACAGCTCGAGACTTGGTTAAAGGATCAGCATACCCTACAATATGGCTTTGCCAGCAGATAAAAACCAAAGCACTAACCGTTTCTTGAAGGGACTTCACTTCCTCCATCATTAGTTCTGTCTACAACAAGACATTACGGATTATGTCAAGACAACTCTTGTCAATCTAACTAAACAAAGGATTTTTGGGAAGGTTGGTTTGATCACTTAGTTAGCAGTATAGATACCTTCTTAGCTCTAATTACGGACAGAGCAGTCTCGAGCTGTTCCTCCATAGAAATTAGAGAATCTACACTTACAGTATCGACATTTGGTTCTTCAAGCTTGCTATATTCATAAGTCGCCAAAAAAAAGAAATATTTTTCATCAGAAGAAGAGGGAGATTAAGGTGTCTTAGTGCTAACCTTTGGACTATTTCTAGTAACTCCTTGTGTGGAAGATAATTCCGAATTTTTTCTGCAAGATCCTGCACATGGAGAAAACGAAGGGAATGGTCAGAGAGATTGTGAAGTTCGTTGAGTTATCTCAGGCTTGAGCAGTGCTTCTATCCCATCATAACATCAAAAACCGCATCTAAAACAAGTTTTTATTGATGTTTAGCTAACTTACTAAGGCTTTAAGTTCATCAGCACGTTGTATTTCATAGCGATCAATGATCTTTGACATGCTGGAGATATCATGAACAAAACAACATTCATTAGAACCAATAATCTACACAATCTTTTCAAAACTACGAATTAGATATAGCATCAATAGAGGACTTAATAATGGATATGAATTCAAATTATGATTATGACTATTCAATCCAACTTCAGCCTAGTATCAATGCAATCACACATAGAGTCGCCCGAATCTACAGGGAACTGGAAGCAAAATGTTTGACTATATGATATCAAGATCATCTTCAGAGAAAAAGCCAAGAAAATGGGTTTGGCTTTCTGGGAAGGTCACAACTCTTATCCTAATTGGCGTTGCCCATGATATATTAACGCAATATAATATAAATAAAAGCTGCCTAAGAATTCACTTTATACGTTTTTCGTAACATCTTAAGTTTTGAATTCAACATCAATCACCAAAAGAAAAAAAAAACTAAAGAGTGTGCATAAGATCAATCTCAAGTCAAAATACTTTGTATAGTGCCACTAAGTTAAGGTATAAAGGAACTACCAAGAAAACTAGCTCTGACTAGAATTCGACAATTGTAAACTGGAGGCAAATAGAAAAAAGATCCTAATAATTCTATATATAGTATGTGCATTGTTACAAATTTAACATATATACTTCCATGATCAAGCTTGTTGGTGTTAACATCAAGGCAATGAGAAGAAGCTATACATTACATTTCCATTTTCTAGTTGAGAAGTAGTAGTTGAGATTTCTTCTAGATAGACGAATGTCAAAAGGTCATGTGGTTAGGAATATCCACAACCAAAGTTAGAAGACTATTAAATTCATTGAAGAATCATACTATTTCACCTTATCGGTAGAAATCGATATCTACTTAATGAATCTACTACGCTACTGCGACATATATATAGGTGGTCGTAGACTTAGTTATAGTTTTGAGTTACTTTACCAAAGAATCCCAAACTGAATACATTGCAAGAGCAGAAAAAAGGGGCACAACATCTTGTGCCCGTTAATCTATAGAGATATATATTGTGAATGGTGTCATAAGCACACAACGAAAAGGGTTAAAAGGGTAAAAATCTATGTCCGATTATAGATAAGTAATGTAGCATGTGTGGCAAACATCAATGTGGAAAATTATCCAAACCCTACAATCAACCTGCAAAATCAACTATATAGACCTTTGAAAGGTACTTAATCGACAAACCAATAGAAGAGAAATTAAAAACAAACAGTCTAGACTACAATACATTCCGGATCAGTAATTCCACAATGTGGTATCTAATTTAAACGAAAGACTCTTGGTCTATAATCAATCTATGTACTCTTGGTATCTAATTCCGGATGTGCATTGCAATATTGGATATAAACCAAATCTCAAAATTTAACAATAGACACATTGTTTCAAAAAAAAAACAAAAAATTGAATCTTGAAAGTTGAAAGTGAACAACAGATGAATTAGCGATTACTTGAAATTTCAACATTGAGAATGTATCACCACCACGTGTAGAAAAAATTCTTGAATCACATGCAATATTAAATTTTGTAAAAATCAAAGGTAAATCCTTATTTGCAAAAAAAAAAAAAAAGCAAGAAACAAACACCAAGAACATATCTTGGCCTCCACAATGTTTAATCTGAAATTAGGTTTAAGCTAAAGCATCAGCTCTCTTCTTAAAGAAAAAAAGGAGGAGATCTCAGTTGATTTGAAGGAAACAAAAAAGCCCTAGATTTGAAGTTTCTATATGGGGAAAGCAAGTAAACAAATTAAAGAGAATAAGAAAAAAAGGCACAAAACTCGAGTGAGACCCATAAGAGGAGAGTAGCTTACTTGTCACCGGAGGCAGAGTTGTAGAGTTTTCCGGAGCCGGAGACGACGAGAACAGCGATGGAAGATTCACAGAGAACTGAAAGTTGTCGAGCTTTCTCGATGAGACCTTTGCGTCGTTTGGAGAAAGTGACTTGTCGACTGCTTTTGTTCTCGATTCGCTTGATCTCGACTTTTCTTCTTCCCATGGCTTCTTTCACCGATAAGGATAATGCCCTAATTTGATCCTACTCACCGGAGGAGGAGACCCACAATGTCTTTGCTTCTTTTTATTCTTCTTTTTTGCTTCGTTTCTCTCTCTCTTTTTTTTTTTGTTTTTGAACTAGACAAGTCACTTTGTTTTTGTTTTGTTAAACGAGAGAGAAAATAATAAGTGGAAACGGTTGCGTTTTTGAAGCGACGAAGAGGCACATAATTTAATTTTAACACTTGTTTAACATTTAATCCAGTCGGTTAGACCGGTCCGATCATCATCCCCACCGAACAGATTGGTTTTTTAGCGAGGTTTATTTTTGCCGGCGGTTTTAGATTATTAATTTTGTTCATATGTTTTGATATTAAAAACTAAAGTTAAGGTTATCCATTTCGGATACAATTATCGAAAAGTAGTGCTTGTGAAATATGAATCGGGTACGGTTAATTTAAAGATTTCAATTATTCTTTGACGTAAACTTTTAAAAGATGGCTGGATAATTTTTTTTTTTTTTTTTATAAATTCTTAAAAAAAAAAAAAAAAAACATCATCCTCCAGATACTCCAAACGATCCTAACCGTTTTTATTTGGCGCATGTTCATATACTCTCCAACGTTTGTTCCATACCAATTTGGAAGACCTCGCCCATAATAGCTTTGATCAAAAAATTTCGCTCCCAACTAATTACCTCTCTAATATTACATAATGGTGAAACCTAAATTATGCACATATACATATAAAATTTCCGAAAAAAAAAAAAAAAAGAGTTACTCGAAAAGGTAATTTGGGCATCTATAGTGATCCAAATTACAAAACCGTCTAGTTTTTGAGTTCGGATTTGAAGAAAATTACGTTCTAAAATATATATATATACCCGCTCAACACTTAAGAACTTACATCTCTAAAGTAGATTTTGATTAGTTCTTCTGATCAAAATCAAAATCTCTACAGTAGATTTCAACTAATCTCACCACTAGTTGACCGAGTTGCCTCGGCCTCGACCGCGACTCGTTCTCAAAACTCAGTTAGGTTCCGCAATTTCGATGTTTGTTCCCTAACTGAATCATAACTGACGGCGTAAACTTTCGGCTTTCCAAAACGACGACGTTCGAGAATCGTTGGGTTTTAGGATTATGCATCATCTTAAATAGGCCCACTATTACATATCTAACAAAGGCCCATATAACTGAAACTCGCTTTCGTTGACCAAAACGTTTTGTGACCTAACCTCTCCAATTCATCGGGTCAAACGACTCGGAAGCTAACGCTTTGTCTCAATTCGGTGGGTCATATATTGTTGTCGAACACAAGATGCCAAAATGGTTCTGTGAGTAAATGTTTCAATCTTGAATTAATCATATGATGGTTTGCGGTTTAATTTAAGAGCTTATGTAAATTATGCTTACATAAAATGTTTTCACTACTTGAAAGTTGAAACAGCACACACGCTTGAACTTTTGTAGATTTTGTTTGACTCTCCCAGGTCATGGCTCATGTCCCCAGGTCTAATAAAAAAATCTAGAGAGAAGCTCACGTGTTGGCTCCTTCTAGGTTTTTGATGATTATTTAAGTTCACGTGTTGAACTTTTGTAGATTTTGATTTTTTTGATTTAGTAAATGTATGTCCAACAATCAACATAAGTGGGTTTCTCTTAAAATGATAGAAAGTGAAAAACTAGAGTGCAGCCACTTGTCTAGGCTTTTTCTTTCAAGTTGGTAATGGTAGGGAAACATCAATTACATATTTGAATTTTTTTAAGAAACTAATAATATGAAATATGAATAAATGGAATCTATTGGTACAGAACCAAACACTTGCTTTGCTTTTGCTTTTTTATTTTTTTAGTCTTCTTTGTTTAAGGGCCCAGAGATTCAGCGAAATAATTGGTTTGGTCCATTGATGCGTTCCATTGTTGATACCTTTGTTCTTTTGTGCTCTCACAGTATCAGTTTCTTTTCATAAATTTATTGCTTACCTCATGTACCATTCACTGATTCTTCAATACTTTATCCCACTAAAAATTTATCAATTACAAAGTTTGATGTAACAAAAAGTTCTTACATTTGTGGGGCTGTGTGAAATTTTAATCATTTAACTTTGGAATTGTACTCAATTATGTGCTTCAGATCAAACTAATAATATTTTGGTATCTTTGGAGTTTCTATTTTTTTTACTTATAATAGGGTTCTCGAAGAGAGAGTTTCTGTGGAATGATACAATATATTTCTCCAGCCAATTGATTTCACTAAAAACAAAAAATTAAAAGGTGAGAGGCAATGAGGAAATAGTGAGATAAGACAGTGCAGCTAAAAGAAGGAGGCTTATGTGTCGAAAAGTTTTCGGACAGTTTGGTGACGCATTCATCCATTACATGTCCACACTAACTTTTGTCCTGTTCCTAATGCTTATGATATCACATTTTTGTTTTCTTCTTCTATATAATCAGTGATAGCCTGATTCAATCTAATCCTGTTTGTATAGGATCCGGTTCTGATTTTGTTTGCTTATGATTTGATATTAAATTTAAACCTGATTTTAAAGAAAATCGATGAGTTTAACCGGTTTGGCTTGGCTAATCCAGTTCACAATGATCTAGATTTATACAAAACCGGATCAGACTTTACAATGATACATTTTTTTCAAAATTGGTAAATTCGATTCACATATTGTTGGTCCATCATAAGATCTCTATTATACATGTGATAAAACTTGCTATATATAGAAGTGTTTTGGATTTTTTGATCCGCGAGGATCAAGGATGTATATATATATATTGGACTGTCTGACTATATACACTAGTATGAGTACATCTAATCCATACCAGTTACTATGAGTTTTCTTTCACAAGTGCAAAACTGATAGGACTACTAAACCGAAAACTATATTCGTATTGACAAAATTTGATTGTTTTGGTTATATAGGTGACATTGAAATTTTAAACATAATTCACTGTTAAATTACAAAAACACTTGCAAACTGTATCCATCATATCCAAGATTGAAGCAATAAATAATTTAAACTATAATTTTGGGCATTGATTGAATAAGGGGCCAAAATGGGGGTATGAAAGTCGAACTTTGTTACGCAATCTCGGATTAAATGATTGTCTTAACTCTTAATTTTTTTTCTTCTGGAGGTTCATGACTTACACGGTTACACTAATATGATTACCTATATATATATAAAAGAAAAAGAATTATAATTTGCCAACTAAAGAAGGTTATAAAAATAAAACAAGATTATCTCTAAATTAGATTCTCCCATTCTTTTTCTTTAAATAACTTGTGTTCTTCTTCTCTTCTTCTCTTCTTCCTCCCCTTTACCTTTTCTCCCTCTCTCACTTCACACTTCTTCTCCTTCTTAGAGAGATAGATAAGATGGTGTTAGGTAAGCGTCATGGATCACTGATCAAGAGAACAACAAGCATGAAGATGATCACACTCGATACCCCCACGATCTACGACGCATCTCAGCCGTCCGATCATCTAACCCTTCATCAACATCCTCATAATCCGACGCTGGTGATGGCTACTAACTACGATGATTTCTTGAAGACTTGTAGTCTCTGCAATCGAAGTCTCTGCCATCATCGTGACATTTACATGTATAGGTGCGATTTTTATGTATTTTTTCTTTTATAAATTTCATAAACGTACGTAATTACCCTTCACATAATTTGAAATGATGTTTTGATCAAGGTTACATATGTAATGGTTTTGATGAATATTTTTTTGTATGTAATGAAAAAAGTTGTTTTGTATCGTTTTTGTAGAGGGAACAACGCATTTTGTAGCTTAGAATGCAGGGAGAAGCAAATTAAGCTGGACGAGAGAAAAGCGAAAACCGGCTTCATATCATCGAAGAAACCAATTCGTATTTAATTCGTATCTACAACGATAACGATAGTCTTTCCTTATGAGTAAAATGAATATGTTTGCGTTTTGTATAAAAGAATGATGGAGATTATGAGAAACAAATAGAAGATGAGAGACTAAATGCTTGTAGTGATCATATATATAATAATGTGACTTCATAATTTATGAACTTTAAGAGTAATAATTTTGAATTTGTTTTGTTCGTGTGATTTGTTTCTTTGTGAGATGTGTAAAATTATGTAATGAATTATCAATGTTGATGTATATTCAGGTGGTCTTACTACTTGTCGTAACATATAAAGATATATAGTAAACGTACTCTGATTTTATAATATCAGATGGACCGATTCTTAAATGTAATTAGAAAATAGAATTTGTGATAGTGATCAGTTCTGAGAAATTCTATAAATAATTGTATCGAATATTGGGTGACGAAAACCAAAAGATTTTCCTCTTTATTAACTCCAATTTCCAGTTGGCCGGCTAAATTCCCCAAATATATATATAAAAATTACAAGAAATAATATTCTTCTTTCTATAGAATTATTATTATTATCAATTTTCATGAAATAAAAAGTATATCTATCCATTCCGAAGATATAACAATCTACTAAATGTGATTACGACTTAGCATACAAATTAGGCATTAATTCGTACTTATATTTCAATAAACCAAACGACGATATAACTTAGAGAATAAAAGAGGCAAAACAACAGTGTATTCAATATTGGTATGTAACTTCAAAACGAGAAAATACACTGTAAAGATATTATCAAAATGCAAGTTAGAGAGTTTCCAGATAGCCGAATGCTTTACCTAAGGTGGACCATTTGAGTTTTGGCTCACATGTTTTATTCGCGATAATTTTGCGGAAAATCCTTTGCCGCTGATGATAAAAACCAAAAACTATCATCTAAAAACTATTTGAAACCCCACAAACCATGGCCAAAAAATGGACCTGAAAGGTAAGGCCGAAAAGAGTGGGCATACTGAAAACAGGCCTACAAGAATTGGGCTTATTATGTCTACATCCTTGTAGCCTTTTATGTAAGAAACTCCTGAGTGTGCCAATTTTGTATAATACTTTTTCAGGTGTACTAGTATCAGTGATTTTATGACACAGACCATAAGTTTTTTTTTACCCTTTTTTTAATATGACAAATTTGGTGGGTCCATTTTAAAGATTTTGGAGTTTGATTCTTGATAAGATCTTTGGATCTGGGAAGATCAACGCTTGTATCACTCTTCAATATTATTATTATTATTATACGGATCATCGTATTGCAATAAACACTAGAGTTAAATTTCATTGGACTAACGAAGATGTGCACCAAGTCATGATCTATCTAGTCCACACATGTTTTAAATAACCCTCTACTGTTTATTATTACACCTATAAAGTTAAGAAGTGACGAAGTGTTGTCCTCTCGAATCCTCCAATGGATAATCTATGACCACTTACGAAGATCCCGAATCTTACAACTATCAGTAAGAAATACAAAAGTAATGTGTTATGGATTTTACATAAACTATTAGAATATTTGATCATCGTCCATCATAAGTATATATAAATACTGACTCTTTTGTTCCATCAAACATATCAATCAGCAAAACCTCATCTTTGATTTGATTTTGTAAGCCAAAGAAATGGGTGTCATGGAGAAGAAACTTCGTTCACTAAAATGCGAAGTGAGAATAGTAGAAGCAAGAAACGTAGAGATCAAGTCACAAGCTAGTACTCTGTTCGTTAGATTCTATCTCTCTGCAGGACACAAGAGAAAGATCGAAGTAAACACGAGAGAGATCTCTTCGAAATCAGATCAACTCATGTGGGATCAATCTTTTGGTCTGGAGTGTCAAGGGGACGAAGCAGCTCTCCAAGAATTGAAGCAACAGAGAGTTGTTTTCGAGCTACGGAGGAAGAAAACACCGTCGTTTCTTAGGAAGTCATCAAGATCTGAGGTTGTGGGGAGAGGAGAGGTTTCATGGGAATCGGTTTTCGAGTCGCCGGGCATGGAGATTGAGAGATTTGTGGTGATGGGTGAATCGAAAAACCAGGTTTCAGGAGATGAAAAACCTATGTTGTTGAAGATAGCTTTAAAGGTCCAAGCTTTAGAAGAAATGGAGAAGATTTTGATCAAGAAAGACAAGAAAACAGAGAAACTTTGTTGTGTGTGTAGTAGTAGAGATTGTGGAAGTTGTAACTGCTTAGATTATGAAGCTTTTGCTTTAGCTTGTGCTTTAGATTGCATTTAAAGAAAGAAAAACAGATATTGATTCAAATTAACAAACTCAAAACGTTCATTGATAAATAGTTGCAGAAACCAGTTTCACAACTCTCTTATTTAAAAACAAACCAGGCAGTAAGAAGAAGCGGGGAAATCAAGATATTGAACCAGTTTCAAGCATCACCATGTCCGAGAAGAGCAACAAGCATGTCCTCATAATCACCAGAAGTGTCTTTGGCGATAGCACGGTCCAAGGGAATGCTATTCCTTCGCTGGTATTCCTCTTTGATGCGTTCCATGTCAACTTCAGTTCTTGTAGTCACGACTCGGGTTAGTCCCCATTCGTCTGTTCCCATTTTGTTGATTGATAGACGCAGAACCTTCTCAAAATGCTTCTCAGGGTATGTCAAACATGTGATTACAGCTCTTAGTAGTTTCAGGTAGTCATTGTCGTCTGACTCTTCCTTCAAGTTCTGCAAAATTTCACAACATAATCAGATGTCTGAACAAGACTATATAAGAGAAAAAGTGCAATTGGTAGTTAAGTTAACCTTGTTAATGGCGTTTCCGTACTCGTTGTTGTAGTGGTTTAGTGTTGCGCCCAGCTGTGCTTTGCTTCTTGTTGTCAAGATTCTGATGAAGTCATCGTCGCTGTAAGCTTTCTCTGAGACCTTCTCGTGAAGTATCTTAGCTTCAGACCTTGCAAGCATCATGTTCACATCGTCTCCTTCATACCTGAAAGTGCTCACAAGAGGAAGCAAGAGCTAGGCAAAAAAAAAAAAAAACAGAGGATACACAAAGATGTCAAAATATGTGTCAAATAACAGAAACAAGAAGACTCTGTTTATTGATTGATTATCTACCTTACGAAGGTCACCAGATGTGTGTTGCGCGACATCTTCCTCGAGTGATTTCTTGTATCGAGCTTGGTACGCTTGCTTGACCTTGAAAAGCTCAAGAGCAGGCCTTGTGCAAGCGATTTCAACAAGAACCCAATTGTTCTTGGTGAACATTTTGGTGGATTCTTTAGATAGATAAGCATCTCTCTCTGCTGGATCAAGAGTCCACAACATCACAGCTCTCTGTTACAAAATTCACCAAATACAGTTTGACAAGCCCAAATCAGTCACTAGAGTATTTTCAAAGACCCAAAAGAAAGAAAGAAAGAAAAAGAGTTAAAAAACCTCAAAGTCACTAGAAAGCTCTTTGTCTAATGCCTTGAGAAGATCCTCATTGTAGGTAGCGGCATAAACGCTGCGGATTAAGCTGCGTTGTGCTGCGTTCCTGTGTGCTAGAATTGATATGATCAGCTTCTCGTTGGTACCCCATCCTGTTTCAGACCAAACCCAACAAACAAAACATTTTAAGACATGTCTCATGTCACAAATCTCCCAAGGAGAACAAAAGCATTTGAACACAAACAAGTATGATTGTGGACCGCTAAAGAACAAAAAGCAACATACTTTCAATATAATCAACCAATTAGGACATCATCGGACTTTATATAATATAAGAAGATATGATCCTGATCTTGTGGTGAGGGAGAACAGAGATCAGGTCAAACAAGATTAAATCCCTAATCACCAATGTAGTTGTGACTAAATCAACAAATACATAACAAAAAAAATCGAAGAAACTTAACGATAAATTATGGAGTGTACTTAAGAAATCAAAAGGACCAATCTTTTGATTAACGAAACAGATTACAGATTAGATCGTAGTAGAAGAAACTAAATCTAGATCAAGTACTGATGAAAAGAAAAAAGAAAAAAGAGAGAGAGAGAGAGAGAGAGACCTGAAAATGCCTTGTGGAGTTGCTCAGCGTCATCTTCGGGACGAGGAACATTGGTTGGGACTTTGAGAGACGCCATTGTTGGGTTGGGATCAGTCTTTAACTCTTTAAGATCTCTCTGTGAGTTTCTTCTGCTTGTAATGAGAGACGCAGCAGACGCACGTCGTCCTGCTTAAGTAATGTAACGGGAATCCCAAAATTATTTAAGTTATTGTGAGCATTTAATAAAAATAATAAAATAATTGAATATGGACATATTCTTCTAATAAATATTTGACAGCTGTTTGATTTTTTCCCCTTTTTAAGTTTTAACAGCTGATTTTGATGAAAAGGGGAAATAATTTTTTCCCCTTTTATGCTAAAATTAATACAATATCTCAATTGGGTTTAATGTTAAATGAATCAAAGCTGAAAAAGATTATGAAGTAATCCAAGCAATTAGGCAAATTTTTTCTTTCAAAACCAGGCTGTAATGAAAATAAATAATTCAAAAGAGATATTATACCAAATCAAGTTAAATTGTTTTAAAACTAATAAGTGCAATTTGAAACTAGTAATAAACAAGAAACAGAGAATACGAACCGTGTCAAAATAAATGCCTCAACACCCATAAATTGACTCAACACCCATAATGTGATGTAAAACGTGGGTTGGGACTGTAACTTATGATTCAGAATGTGAACGGGCACATTTGCCTATGATTTTCTCAAGAATAGGTCCAAAGTGAAAGTATTTTTTTTTTTTGTGTTTACAAAATACTAAGGGAAAGCGATGACGATGCTGATGATGAGTTCACACTTTACTTAAAAATCATGATAGTGGAACAGCTATACTTAGAGAAACCGATGATCCATATAAAACAATACATAAGAAAACGAGATTTTCATTTCTTAATTTATCATGTTTGTTAATAATACGAAAGCGATAGAGGATTCACGTGGTTGGCTCCTAAGCTAAAATCTTAAGGGGAGCAGTTACTTCGTCTACTCTAATTTCATAAAATATAATTTCAAGGAAAGAAAGTCCATACACGAAATTCCATTGTACAATAAAAAAAAAAAAAAAAAAACTTCACATGTTTACCAAAAAAAAAAAAAAAAAAAAAAAGTCCATACACGAGTATTGAGGTTAGGTCATCTGTCTTTTTGAAATAATAAACAGGAATCTGAAAACTTTATCCACAAATTTTTAAAAAAAACAAGTATAAGCGATATAAAAAGAAAGCAAGAAGACGAGGAGCGACTCCGCTGGGGATCGAAACCAGAGATATGGTTTCGTAGACCAGCGCCTTATCCATTGGGCCACGGAGTCTTTCTTGCTTAACATATGTGTAACTTAATATTATATTACAACAAGTCCTGCGCTGTGTAACAAACAAACCAAAACGAGTAGAAAAACACATTGCAGAAAGGCCAGACTTTGTAATAAAACATGTTCGGATTCATCAAATATAACGTCTAAGAAACTGAAGTATCATCTAGGGTCCAACACTTGTGTAAAACACACAAGAACGACAAAACATGCAGAAACTTAGGTACAAATGTAGGCATCGTGTATCACTTTGCAGTAACTGGAGATCCATGGAATCTTCAGATAGAAATGGCCGAAGCTTTTATTCATTGATCCCTCTAGAATATAACATCACATAAACCATATCTCTCTGTAGAAGAATTAAACCTTTGTAGTGTTCTCTTATATTCCATTCTTAGGGAGAATCTACTGAATCTGATCCAACCTTAGCAGCAGCAGCAGCTTTATCCTCTTCATAAGCTGCAACATGAACTCCAAGAGCCGCACGGCCTGACGGATCAAGATTCTTTGACCAAGTTGCATCCCATTCCACAGCTTTCGCGGTACTGCAAGCTATACTTGGCCCTCCTGGTACTGTCGCCCTTGCAGCACTCTGCTCAGGAAACACAAACAAATCAGTAGAGTAGACAAGTTTGGATGAGAATTTGAATATCCAAAGCATATTATATTACCTTAGGGAAGAACTTTTCGAAGATGGTTCTGTAGTAGTAAGCTTCTTTTGTCAGAGGTGTGTTATCAGGGAAGACAAAGCTGGCGTTCGACAGCATAGTATCAGAGACCTTTACCAAGAAAAAGGAAATTTATGTCAAAAAACTTTCCAACATTTATCGGAAAAATGCCTTAATAAAAGACCTTTCTTACATGTTTGTTTGCATGATCTTTTAGACCATCAATCCAGCTATACCCAACGCCATCACTAAACTGTTCTTTTTGTCTATACAGAATATGCTGAATTCACCAGAAGATGAGGAATTTCGTTAGACCATCATATGTGTAATCTAGAGAGTATATCGGAAAAAATTGCGGAGAGCTACACAAACAGGTTTTTATTTGCAAACACACCTTTGGTAGATAAGGTCGTTGTTCATCATCAAAGGCATTGCGTAGCACCCACTTCTCGATCCTTCCGAGATCAGGCTTGATCATCTTCCACTCTGGATCAATGCTCATTGCGACATTCAAAAATTCTTTATCTAGAAAAGGCACACGAGCTTCGACACCCCACGCAGAAGTTGATTTATTAGCTCTCAAACAATCAAACTGGTGGAGAGCCTTGATCTATAAGTGGATCAAAGCATAAACAAGATTCAATAAGGGACAAAAGCAGATCAGCAAGATAAGTTCATGATCTGATGACAAGGAAATACCTTTCGGCATGTTTCTTCATGAAATTCTTTCTTGTTGGGCGCCTTATGGAAGTACAAGTATCCCCCGAGAATTTCATCAGAACCTTCCCCAGAAAGAACCATCTTTACACCTAAAGATTTAATTTTTCTGGACATAAGAAACATTGGGGTGCTAGCTCTGATTGTAGTCACGTCATAGGTCTCAATATGGTAAATGACTTCCTCTATCGCATCTATCCCATCCTGGAATTATCATTAGAGAAAGATATTAAGCCTGTCTATTTTGAAAAACATGAATGATAATGAATCTGCTTCAAGGAAATTTTATACCTGAACAGTAAACTGAAACTCGTGGTGGCGTGTTCCAAGATAGTCAGCAACTTCTCTGCCAGCTTTAAGATCTGGCGATCCCTGAAAAAAAAAAAAAAAACAGAATATATAGTTAGAATCTCGAAGGCACACATCCTTTTAAGAAATCTGATACTAAGCTTGAATTTTTGATGACCTGCAATCCGATGCAAAATGTGTGCAATTGTGAACCCCATTGACGAGCAGCTTCCGATTTTTCCAAATGGCGTAATGCTACTGCAGCAACGAGAGAC